ATTAATAATTAAATTAATTAATTAGTCAACAATTCAAAATATTTAAATACACTATATATAATCAATATAATCATACTCATTTAAAATCTGCCAGAATTAGTAATAAAATTAATTGATAAAATTCCAGTTAAAAAAAGTTTATTATTCTCTTTCCATTCCCTTTGTTTCCAAATAAAAGTTAATTTATATTGCTCATCATTGTCTTCAAGTAAAATGTAACCTTTTGTTGAAGTATCCTTATTTTCACGAAATATAATTTGATCGTATTTTAATATGCTTTTTAATATTTCTCCACCTATTGCGCCTTCCAAAGTGCATTGATATTTTCGTAGGCTTGGTATGTATTTGAAGCTATCCTCATTTTCAAACAAAGATAAAAATACACTCTCTGGAAATGCATCAATTACTATATGTTTTTTCCAATTGAGTGTCTATTAAACCCTAGACTATTTTTTAAACGAATTATCATCGCATCTCTATAAAAGGATAATGTTTATTCCGAAGGTTTACAAAGCATATGACGGTGTGGAACAAATTTATTGTTTTTGTGATTTTTTCATTCGTGGCTCTGAATTTTTTCTTTATATCGTAAATTTTAAAACAAAGTAGGCAAGGAAAAGTACATGTAGTAGTCATTGAAAATAATAATAAAACGTCGCGTATATTATTTATAATTGATAATTCAATAATTATAATTTTATTGGTTGAGTTGATGATCAGTTCGAGGTGACAAAATTGAATGTATATCATAAGCAGGTGATATAATCGAAGTGAAACAAGTCAGCCCATATGTTGAATCGACAAATAATATTGCATAAATGTAAAATTTTGACAACGCCCAAAACGAGAAATCGAACCCATAAATGTACGTAAAAATGCTGCGTAACAAAAAAATTGGTGATATAGTTAATATAGTGATAGTGAAATTTTTTAGAATTTTAATGCACACACAATGATGGATGCTTCGAAGACTCTAGTAGTTGATAATGGAACGGGGGTAGGTCAAAAGGGTTTCAAAAATTCTTATTTTATTTTATACATTTTTTTTTTTAATGTATTCATTATTATTGTATTCATTTTGTATTCATTGAATAGATAAATAAAATTTGACAATTTTTTCTTTTTCAGTTTGTAAAAGTTGGGTACGCTGGTTCTAATTTTCCCCAATATGTATTTCCCTCAGTCGTTGGACGACCAATACTTCGAGCAGAAGAAAAAGTTGGAAATGTAGAGGTCAAAGATATCATGGTTGGTGACGAAGCAGCCGAACTTCGTTCAATCTTACAAATGACATATCCGATGGAAAATGGTATAATAAAAATATGGGAAGATATGAAACACTTATGGGATTATACTTTCAATGAAAAATTGAAAGTAGATCCTAAGGATTGTAAAATTCTGTTAACCGAACCACCAATGAATCCAATTTCAAACAGACAAAAGATGGTACAAATGATGTTTGAAGATTATGGATTTCAAGGAGTTTATGTATCTATTCAAGCTGTATTAACTTTATATGCTCAAGGTGATTTTGATTTGAAAATGATATTCTTGGAATTCATAGAAAAATATAAAAATATATATATTTATTTATTAATAAAATATTTGATTAGGTCTTCTCACTGGAGTAGTAGTAGATTCAGGAGATGGAGTTACTCATATTGTTCCCATTTATGATGGATATTCTCTTCCACATCAAACACGTCGACTTGATGTAGCTGGTAGAGATGTAACAAGATATCTTATAAAATTACTTTTATTAAGAGGTTATGCATTTAATAGAAGTGCAGACTTTGAAACTGTAAGACAAATCAAAGAAAAACTTTGTTATGTAAGGTACAAAATAATTATTTTTAAATAATGACTTTTTATTTATTATAAAATTATGTTCTAATTCATAAATTTATTAGTTATGATATTCCATTAGATCAAAAATTAGCGAATGAAACAACAATACTTGTAGAAAATTATACGGTATTTTATTATCTAAAATTATAAAATTATTTGGGAAGAATAATACAAAAATCCAAGAATTTGATATAATATAATTAATATTATTTACTAATTTTAGTTACCTGATGGACGTGTAATTAAAGTTGGTTCTGAAAGGTTTGAGGCACCTGAATGTATGTTCCAGCCTCACTTGATTGATAATGAACAACCAGGTGTTGCAGGTTGGTTTTATATAAATAATTATTATTATATCTAAGGAAAATATTGTATTTAATGTACTTTGTAAATGTTACTTATTATTACTTATTGTTTATATTTTTATATTGTAAAAGAAATGCTTTTCGAATCCATTCAAGATGTACCTTATGACGTTCGTCCTGAATTATATAGACATATTATCTTATCAGGAGGTTCGTCTATGTACCCAGGTTTACCAAGTCGTCTTGAAAAAGAAATTAAACAACTTTATTTGCTAAGAGTGGCAGAAGGAGATACCTCTATATTAAAAGTAAGAATATTTATGAATTATTATATATATATGTTTGTTTATGTGTTAAAATATTAAACATTATTGTTTTCTTTTTAGAAATTTAAGATTCGAATTGAGGATCCTCCAAGACGTAAACATATGGTTTTCCTCGGTGGAGCAGTTTTAGCTAATATAATGCAAGATAAACAAAATTGGTGGATTTCTAAGCAAGAATGGGAAGAGAAGGGTGAACAATGTTTGGATAAATTAGGTGGTAAGGCGTCAACTTAAAAAAAAAAAAAAAGATTGATTATTTATTTATTTATTTTCATTTGGGGGATTCTATATCGTAAAATTTTATCATTAAATTCTAATATATGAAGGAGGAATTAGATTAATGCTACTGTTTTATTTAAAAATTTTAAATATAAACATGAATACATGAAATCCATTCAATTCAAAGGACGTCAAATATGGGATTTAATAAATAATCAAGAATTGATATTGTTAAATAAATATCGAAAAATAAACATTTAATATAAATAATGTATGTGTATAACCTAATGCTAAAAAAAAAAAAGAAAAAAAAAATTCCAAAATAAAAAAGAAATCAATGTTGATAAAATATTGAAATTGGTAAAATGTATGTTTAAATATGTCAAAAAAAAAAAAAAGAAAAATTCAACAGAAATATACATAGCAAATATCTAAATATATCATACAATCTAACTGTTAAGCATATTCCAACCAAGTATTGTTTTTTTTTTTTTTACTTTTTTTTTTCATGCAATTTTTTTTTTCACTACCTTTTTTTAACCTAATAACCTATATACCAAAATTGAAAATTTGAAATTAAATAAATCCACTTGTTTCGACCGGCATCTCATAAACTTTTGGATTTAACAATCTCCAATTTTCATTGAGTTGATGGGAATATTTAATTTGATCATTAACAAAGTTCTGATATAAAATAGAAATGAATGCAGAACTTTTGTGGAATAAACTCAACTCAGCATGCAAACAATAATGCGAAAAGTTTATGCGCGTTTGTTGAGTTATAATATCGGTTTGATCCTAAATTCATTTATAAATATTGTTTATAAAATTTAGCTTAGTTATATATATATATATATATATATATAATATATAATATTGGACAATAAAAATAATATTAACCTTTTGAATTGCTGTGTTCAATCTTTCTGCTTCCGGATCTACCCCTTCTTTTAATGGAGCAAGTTTTGCTTGATTGGCTTTTATTCGATTATTAAGAGTCTCAATTGAATCGTCATTTAATTTATTTTTTCTTTCAAATGTTTCCTGTAAACAAATCATTATTTATTATTTTTATTAGAACAAATTAAAGTATTATTATTATCATTGGAAATAAAGAATAAATATTAAACATTACTCAGGAACCCATAATAAAATACTTACTTTAAATGATACAAGTAAATCCCGGTGTCGTTTCAAATTTTCCAAAACTGTTTCAAGTGTTGCCGTAGCCTTTTTTTTTTAAAACCAAATTTAATTATAGCACCGATCATATAAAAAAACGTATCAATTAATTAAAATTTTCTTATTAAGACGAAAACTCACCGCCTCTTCCATTATTGTACTTGTCTTTTGAAAATGTGTTGCAATTTCCTCTAAACCTTGTTTTACTTGACCACAACCAGTGCAATCTTCACGGTAACATCCTTTTTCTTGCTCGATCAATGAACTAAATTTAAAATTATATAAATATACATAAATTTTATCATCACACTCCAGATAAGTATAAGAATATGCATTAAAAAAAACCTACTGCAATGCTAAACTATATCGCATGTAATCAGTTGACATTCCTTCAATATGATACATATAATATATATATATATATATATATATGAAAATTTTTAATTTTTAGTTAAATCAAAATATTGAAATGAATTCGATTTTTTGGGTAAATTTTTCTAACCTTCTTGACGACGAGCGATACGCTCCATTATATTACAAATGTTTCTATAATGTTCAATATTATCATCTAATCTTTTATATACTTTATTTAACCTTTCTTTCAATTCAGTTGGTATACGTTGTTCTATTTCAGGTGTAATTGTCTTCTTTAAATATTCTTCTTCCAAATCTGGTAAATTATTTTTACGCCAAGTTGCTATCTCCTATAATATTTATCAAAAAAAAAAAAAAAATTGTAAGATATGTTTAAATGAATTTATTTTATAATTTTCGAATATTTAAGATGATTCTTACTATTGGTTCTTTAAGAAATATTTCTACGAGTTCATCATCTTTTAGAACAGGATGCCTTGCAATAAAATTCAGGAATCTGGTCAATCCTTTCCGTCGTTTCTCCAGAAAAGTTTCATCAACTGTGAAATAAAATCCGTTGGCTTTATAAGGTAAAAATAATATTAAATATTCAATTATCTAGCCGATTCAATATATAATAAAAATATAAAAATCAATCCTACCTCCAATTTTTTTAGGTGGAAGAGCAGGTAAAATTCTATATGGATATTTTTTTATGAGGCATTCCATTAACCACCAGAAATCGCTATATCTTCTAACAACTTTAGTTCCTCGTTGCTTTATTTCAAATAAATAAAAATAAAAATAATCTTTTTTAAATAATTTTGCTTGAGAATAATAACAATAGTAATAATAATAATAATAAAAATTTGAAAATAATTTAATTCTTACTTGAGATTCCACAATATAATTTACATGTTTAAAGAGAAATCCTTCTCTTTCTGGCGCAAATTTTACAGTAATTACATCCATATCCATAAACCAATGAAATTCATCTTCTTTAGGTATAGTAAGACTCGTATTAGAAACAGGTTGAGGGGTAACTGGAGATTGATAAATTGATACAGGAACTTCTGTAGAAAATGGTACAGTTGTATATCCATTAGCAGAAGGGGAAGGAGAAATGGCCCATGGATCATCAGCCGGAATAGAGTTCATGGATGGACGTGGTAATGTCGAAAAACTCAAATTTCGATTGAAATTAACGCTTTCGAGATTTGTAAAAATTGGTTCAGGAAGATCTAAAAAATTAAAAAAAAATGTTAAATTAAATTTCTATTTAATATTTTAATTAAATTTTTCACTAAGAGAGTTACCGTTTTTTCGTTCAATTATGGTTTCAATTGAAACATCTAATCAGTATAAATAATTAATAATTAAGAATAATTAAGAATAATTAATTAATATAATAAACTTTTTCATAAATCAAATAAAGTTTACCCATATTTTTTTGTGCTAATGCCACTAACGCAAGTGCAACGTTAAATTCTCCTCGATTGATCCGAGTGCTATTAGCTGATGTGGTCAGATTTAAAATCTATGTTATCGAATGTATATGATTTAAGGTATATGATTTTTAATATATTATTTTAATTAATATATGATTTTATTTGTAAAAAAAAATAAAAAATATATATTACTTTTTCCATTGTCGCGTGAGGAAGTCCACTAACGCCTAAAATTTTATTCAAAGCGGAAATAGAAACTCTTCCTCCATGTTGAGCGAGTGTAAAAGCTGAAGAATAAACTTCTGGCAAAGAAACGTCCGCTAAAGTCAAAAGAAATTTTGATATCAACCTTAATTTAAGTTATACAAATTATATAGTTGAAATTATTTTTATTTATTAAACGTACATAGAATATTTGATACATCTATTCCGTTTGCTGAAGGAGGATCCCATGGATTTCCCCCAATATTCATGTTTACGTTGAAAGAATCAGTCATAAAGGAGAGAGAATTAACGTCCCCTTCATTACCCATAGACTGAATCTGTGCCGTCTGAAAGGGTGAAGGTTCGAAGAAAGAACCAGTCATTGAGTCTTCTTCTAACATTTTTTTAATTTTAAGAATTTTTTATTTCAACCAAAAAAAAAAAAAAAGGAACGAAATTCTTTTTATTTAAAAAAAAAAACTTTAATTCGATTTTTTCCCGTAAGATGACGCATATAAAGCAAATAAATCCCCTTTGACCAAATATTTATGATGTAGCAAAAAAACGTATGACAAAAAGTACATTGTCACAGTATAGAAATAGATAAAATGCTACACAACATGGAATTTTTTTTTTGATATAATTTAAACTTTTTCGATATATATGTTATTAAAAATATCCGAATTTTCCCATTAATTTCTTTTTTGGCTTTTCGTTGTACGGGGTAAATCCAGAAATCATGATTTTCATGATCTCCACTCCTTACCTTTCCACTATTACATTTCTTTCTATACATCTATTTCGTCAAATTACAAATCATCTATTTCGTCATTTAAAATTATTCATTTAAAAATCATCATTTTTAGAACTTTAAAGACACGTGAAATTCTATTCAACAAAAAGTAATATTCTAAAAAAAGAACTCAAAAGGAATATAGTGGAATTCAAAAATAATATAATAAATAAATATAGCAATGTAGTGGAATGATTATAATGATTATATTGTTTATTTATAGATATACTTACTAAATTTTGCATTGTTGTAATTGCTACCAATCAAATGTACATTATATTATACTAAAATAATAAAATAATATTATTACTATTGTATTGTATCATGTATTTTTTTAAAAAAATATACAAAAACATTACTAATTGTTTATTATTAAATAAAATTAAAGAACATTTAATAAAAATACAAAAAAAAAAATAGAATAACTTTAAATTTTAATATTTACATAAAAAATAAAATCCCTTAAAAAATATAATAATATTAATAATAACCAATAAACAAAATTTTTTTGTAATTGTCATATATATATATACACATTTATATATTTTTATCTCAATAATAAACAATAATCCACACAACAGCAATGGTATCTTCTCTATTTTTAAAAATAATTATCAAAAAGAAAAAAGAATAAAACATATATATAATATATATAAATATATATAAATAACAAATGATGTATATTATATAATATCTTGATTTTTTTAATATCCTTCTCAATGCTTTCAACTTTTTAAAAGTAAAAGAAAAAGTAAAGTAAAAAAAAAAAAAGAAAAAAGGATATTGTAGATATCATAATATCAGGAATGGATAAAATGGACAAAGGATAAAAAAGAAGGGATACAAAATTAGCTGAAGGGAAAAAGAATATAGGAATATATACTACAGATATCATGAGGGTATCATGTAAAAATCATGTAGAAATCATATGAAATATGGATTATAGTGATAATGAAAGAATAATTAAATATATGTATGTATTTACATATATTAACCTAAATTAAAAATCCATCTCCAAAATGATAATGTTGTGGCAATATTGAATAATCATGGTGATTTTTGTGATTTTTGTGATTCCTTGATGCTGGTGTTGTTGTTCCCATTGGATGCTTAGTGTGAGGAATATGAGGTGAAGAAGGCTGTTGTTGTCCACTAGTAGGATCATAGAATAATCTTCTTGGACTACATAAAAAAAAACAAAACATAAATTTCCTGATTAAAATTATTTATTCCTATTATTATTATAATTATTGATTTTTATTATTATAATTATCATTATTATTATTATAATTATTAAATTATTATTATTATTATTATTATTATTATTATTATTACTATTATTATTATCATTATTATTATTATTATTATTCTTATTACTATTATTATTATCATTATTATTATTATCATTATTATTATTATTATTATTATTAATTTTTATTATTATCATTATTATTATTATTATTATTATTAATTTTATTTTTTATTTTTTCTCATTATTTCTTATATTTATTTGTTTTGTTTATTTTACCTTGTAGGATCCACCTGGTTTGAATATATAAAAATAAATAATAAAAAGCAATTCAATCAGCATTGCTTTTTTGAAATCATGTGTGTGCTTCCTAAATGACAAAATGAAAATGAAAAAAATATATACATATAACAATTTGAAAAAAATTTGAATTCTAATAAAAAAAAAACAAATTTACCTCACTTTCATCATCCTCTATATCTTTATCTATCCTAACGTACCAACTTGGTACCCATCCACGTTCTTCATTTATTTCACAATATAGCCAATAATCTTGTTTTTTATAAATACGAAGTACATCATCTTTTTTCATTCCAAGTTCATCTTCTGTATTTCTTACATAATCAATTAATGCTACTCCTCTACCAACATAAGGACTATTACTATCCATTATATCCGTACCATTAACACTTGTTTCTAATAAAAAATTCGCAGGTACCCATCCCTTAACTTCATCCTTTTCAACGTAACACCATCCACCAGCTTTACTTTTAATTTTAAAAACATCTCCTACTGTAACATTTAATTCATCTTCAAGTTCAGGAACATATGGATAAATTGCAACAGCCGTTTTGTTGCCTACTAATATTTGTTCTTCTGGATTTTCTTCTGTTGAATTTTCATCTTCTAAATGGCTTGTTGAATTGTTATTCTTATTGTTGTTATAAACCTTCGTTGTCGAAATTGTTGACGTTGTTGTTGTTTCTGTTGTTGTTTGAGGAGGTGGGGGAGGTAATTCTTTATTCAAAAATTGAATTGTCCGTCGTTTTGTCTTTAAGGAATTGATGATTTCTTCTGCTGTAGCTACTGGTGATTTAATTTCTTTAATATTTTTTAACATAAAAACTGGATTCTGATTGGCTTCTTTTAATCTTTGAAATAATAATAAAGGTTTCTCATCGTAGCTTAAACAACGTTCCGTTGGATGATCTAGAAAAATATAAATTATCAATATTTATTTATATCTTATATCTATTTTATATTTGTTATATTTATTATAATTATATTTATTATATTTTTATTTATATAGATACCTGGACTTCCAAAGCAAATAAATAAAGCATATTGTCGCCAATCATCCGAAATTTTATATTTCTTAAGTGCGGCAGGTAAAACCTTATAACATGGATCTTCAAGAGATACACGGAAACTTTTATATGATTCAGGTTCTCGACTAATATTTTGATTACCAAAAAATTTAATGGAACCTGAAGGATCGTTAATTGTCACTTGTGGCATATGATAATTTGTATTTGGTTTTGACTATAGAAATAGAAATAGAAATAGAAATAGAAATAGAAATAGAAATAAAATAAATAAAAAATAATAATAATAATAATATTAATATTAATATTATTATTATTATTATTTATTTTATTTTATTTTATTATTAATAATTATTTTTTAGGAGAAAAAAATTTTTACTGAGAATATTGAAAATTTTACTTACATCATAATCATTATTATAATATCGATTATTACGCGGTGAACGTGGAGAAGGTGGGGCACTTGAACCGTCTGATGAATATGTGGTGGGCGATCTTGAGTAATTTGTTATGCTTATACCAGGAACTTGTACAGAAAGACCCCCCTCCTTTAAACCATTGCCATATTTTGATTTACCAGGTTCGGGATCAGGTAACGGCTATAATAAAAATAAAGTAAAAAAAATAAAATAAAATAAAATAAAAAAATAAAAATTAATAATTAAATTTTAATTAAATCGGAAATTATTTTAGATGATTGTATTTGAAAAATAAATTAATACCTTGTTTTCTTTGGCCATTTTCCAAATTGGTATTAATTCCTCGCGTAATTTTGTCAGGTCGGATGTTAATCTTTGAACTTCTTTTGACAAATGTGAAATTACTGTGTCTATAAAATTTTTAAAAACAAATTATCAATAATTAAATTAAAATTAAATTAAATAATATTAAATTAAATTAATTTAAAATTATTATTATTATTATTTTTTATTCAAAAAATAATTACCTCTTTCTTGAATTGCCTCTTCAATTTTACGAAGGTCAGGAATTCCATTCGTAGAAATCGCCTATAAAATATAATCAAAAAAAATAATAATATATATATTATTTACCAAAGGGAGTTAATGTTTGATTATAGCAATTAAAAAATTTTAAAACATACATACGCTTTCAAATTCTGCAGCTAATTATCATGAAAAAGAACAATTTTTAGTGAATGGAATGATTAAGATGTCTCAGAGAAAAAAAATATATATAAATTATATTCGAAAATTTTAGAAAATTGAAAATTAAATACTAACATGGAGGAATGTATTCATCAACTTCTACTGGAACATTATGCTGTATTTTAAGATTATAAATGGCTTTTAATATAGTAACTCGATGACCAACTGAACGAACACCCAGTTCTTTAAGTGCATCGTGATCCAAATGAACTAATATCTCTCCACTTATTCCTTGTTCTAAGAAATGATTTATAGAATTCAGTTAAACAAAATATTAATAAGAAGAATGAAATAATTAATGAGAATAAATAATGAAAAATGAGTAGTTAATAATAAAGTTTCTCACCTTTAATTTGCGATTCGTATCCTGAAAATCCAAGAGAAGAAAGCCAAGAATGTACTTTATTCACATCCCAGCTCATAACGGATTCACTTTGTCTGTCCATAAGACAATATTATTAAGTGGAAAGATATATAAATAATTTTCAGAAAAAAAAAAAATCGATTTTTTTTTTTTTTTTTTTTTTTTTTTTTTTAATATAATAAAATTGACAGTTAAAAAATTTCTAATAGACAAGAAACGTGTGTCCATATCTAATTGTCAAGTCGTGTAACAAATACAGGTGTAACTTCCATTTTGTTATTTTACGTGTTACCGAATTCCTTTTTTTGTAACATAAAAAATTTACATTTTGTACACTAACACTATTTGATGGTTCTTAATTTGTCTAAATATTTACCAACGCGCGTGTGACATGATCCACTCATCCATTGTAATGGTACCATGTGATTACGCGCGTTAAAATTATTTTACCGTGAACAATTGTTAATTAATTCGGATTTTTGGATCATTAATTTACAAAATTAACAAATTAAGTGACATAAATAAATATATAAATAAATAAGCAAGAGAGCACAGTATTTTATTATTGTTATATGCGGGACTCATTTTTTATAAATAAATAAATAAACAGATGTATATATATATATATAATATTTCGAAACAATAAAATGAACTAATAATAATGAAAAACTAAGCTAATAAAAATAAACAGTAATAAACAGTAATAATAAATCGTCATTGAAAAAATAAAAATAAAGATACAATGAACCAATCTAATTAATTGTAAAATTGTTGAACATTATTATTGTGGATAAATTGAACCTTTAAAAATATTTCAATAGGGAATAGAGAAAACAATAAATAACGTAAATAACGAGAAATAAGAAAGAGAGAGAATATATATGTGAGAGCACTCATTAAAAAAAAAAAAAGTTAATTCCGAATATATATATTAATTATATATACAAATTATTAGAGAACAAAAAAAAAGAAATCGTATAATAAAATAAAAATAATAAAATAAATTCGTGATTCGATTTTCTTAAAAAATTAAAAAAATATAATGTAAATTTCAATTTCGTTTCAAATGAAATCATATGAAATTGGGTAGTGGATAAGTAAAATTATATTTATATTTGCATCTTTTTTTTTTTAGAAGCAAGAATAATGTAATGTAGTGTTGAAGTGATGGTAATGAATAATGATGAAAAAAATAATAAAAGAAAATAAATACAAATGCTTAAAGTGTCAAGAAAGACCAAAGACAGAATATATAAAAATATATTACAAAAAAAAAAAAAAAAGTATTTGTGATTTAAAATTAAAAAGTATTGATTTGATAAAAATGCAAAGATGATGTTTTTGATGCTATTTACTAAAAAAAAAATTTACAACAAAAATTTAAGAATTTGTTGTAATTTTTTTTTCCTTTTATAAAAAAAATAAATGAGAAAAGCTTAAAAAAATGCAAATATTAAAATGCTACGTGATAATGATATACAGTATAAAAGTAGATAAACATAAAAAGTATGCAAAAAAAGGGAGTAAAAATGATGAGAAACGAAAAAGAAATTTGAAAAAATTGAAATAATTGAAATAATTGAAGTTCGTAACAATAACAAAAAATCATAAAAAAAAAAATGTTTTCAAAATCATAAATAAAGTTGAATTATTATGGACTCGATTAATTTATCGTTCTTTCGGAATTCACGTCTATAATATATTGTGTTATAATATATTAGTGTTAAAATCTAAAACACAATTCTATTTACTCGTTATATATATATATACTCTCGTTGTATATATTTCTCTCTTTGTATAATACTAATTCGTTGTAAAAAATAGTTATTCGTATTCGTCTCGTTTTTCTCCATCTCCTAGATTAATATTTCATCTTCATATATCCAATATCCACATATATATAAATATATGTATTTATTTATTTATTTGTTTTAATTCTTCCGTTCACTCGTTTCAATTAAAAAAAAAATACATCTATATATAATGTATATGTGTGTGAACGAATAATAATATAATAATATATAATAACATAATATAATATTAATATTATATAATAACATAATATAATATTAATATTATATATTTAATACTGTCCAGCAATATTTATTAGTGGGATAAGTATGCGAGATATACCGTGTATATGGATATGTAGATATGTGTATATGCGTTATATATATGCGTTATGTGTTGTGTTCGTATTATAGGAATAATAATAAATTAAACTCGGGAACGTTTATTCGTAAGAAGTATTAAATATAAAATATATAAAATATATAAAATATATATATATAATTTGATAGTTAAAAAAGTAATATTCTAATTAATTAATCATTACTTCGCTAATAGTTTATTCAATAAGAATAAATTTTTTTGGTTTGCTTTTTTTATACAACTTTATCATCATCATCTTATTATCTTCTATTTGTATTCCTTTGTTTGCATCCATTCTGCTTTGATTTCTTAGAAATATCTCCTTTAATAATTGAATACAATATTTTGAATAATAAAAACTGAATAAATAATTTTATACTCGATAATATAATTTTGCCAAAAATGAAATATGAGTGAAAAATAAATGATTTGATTTTATTAATTATGTTGCCGTTTCGTTGTTGCTGTAGCATTTCATTGTCGTTGTTAATGCTAATGCTGTTAAGATTTTGCCGATTTCTTGCCAAAAATATATATATATATACATATACATATATATATACATGTATATGTATATATATATATGTTTTTTATCATTCTCTGCTTAGAAAGGTGATCCACCATTACTAACAATTTCTAACATTTCTTCCACCTTCAATTTCGCTCGATTTAATGCTGCTCGAGCTTCTGAAAAATCTGTGGGTTGTGGTGGTGGACGATAAGCTGCTCGATATGATGATATATTAATATTATTTCCTGAATTACTAGTTGATTTGTTAGATGAACCATTAGGTAATTTTTTGGATTTAGGTTGACCTGCTCCAGTTGTACCTTTTACTCCTTTAGCTACCGGTGTTGTTTTTGATCCGGTTTTCGTGTTAGAAGGAGTTCTTGATGAAGTTTTTGTACCATTCGCGGTTACGGCTGTTGTTTTATTTGTTGATTTTTTCGATGGTGTGGGTGTAGAAAGTGCACGTGAACTGGCGGTAGATACTGATAATGTTGAAGTTCGTTTTATACTAGGAGTAGGAGTACTTCGACTAGTCTTTGGTTTAGGTTTAGCCGTTATATCAATTCCTGGAGCAACTGATTTAAAATCTCTTGCCTTAAATAATGACATTTGTGATGTCAAATTTTTCATTGTTAAACCATCAGCATCTTTTAACATATCTGTTAGTATAGCAGATTCTTCTTCAATAGAAGTAGCTGAACTACTAACACTCGCACGAGATACTGGTCGTGATGAATAAACTGGTGATGTTACACGTTGATAATTATGATGTCTTCTGGAAGATGAATGATATAAAGAATCTCGGGTAGGACTTGAATCTCTAGTATAAGATGGTGAAGATTGCATTGAACTATAAGAACGAGGAGTAGAAGGAGATCTTATTCCCATAGAAGTTAAAGGTCTATCTTTTAACATTAATGAAGCTAAATGTGATTGAGATTGACGTTTACTAATAGAATGAAGTGGTGAATCATTATCATCTTCAATTTCATCATCATCATCAATATAAAATTTACTATGAGGCGATGACTTTAGACCATTTGAATGATGATGATAACGATCTTTATTAATATCATCTACTTGCCAAGATGATCTCGAAGACGTTTTTGATATTATTGAAGAAGCATAAGTTTGTTCTTTATAAATTCTCGGATCCAAACCATTATTCGGTTTCCATCTTTGTTCAATGTTATCATATAAACCATTTGGAGTAGCAGGACTACTAGGAGATGATATAGAACTTGTATCACTAAAACTAGATTTATGTCTTATACGTTCTAAATATGAATGATTAGCTGATAATGGTTGTCCGTCATCATTAAGTACAGAACTTATTGATGATGAAGCATATGATGAATTTCGAGTGTGTCCTCGACTATTATATTGTTCATGTTGTTCAGAAATCTTATTATTATTATATCTAGGTTCATAATCATCATGATTATCAAGTCTACTACTATTACGCCTTCCATCAAATCCATTATCTTGTTGTCGAATTTTATTATAACCATCGTAATCTTTATGATGACTGTCATAAATATTATCTCGTCTTCGTTCATCGTAAACACTATCTCGCCTTCGTTCATCGTGGACATTATCTCGCTTTCGTTCATCATGAACACTATCTCGTTTACGTTCATCATATACACTACTATCCCGCCTTCGTTCTTCATGTACATTATCTCGCCTTCGTTCTTCATGTACATTATCTCGTCTTCGTTCTTCATGAACGTTATCTCGTCTTCGTTCTTCATGAAAGTTATCTCGTTTTCTTTCATCATATCCAATATCTCTCCTTTTTTCATCATATCCAATATCTCTCCTTTTTTCATCATATCCAATATCTCTCCTTTTTTCATCATACCCAATATCTTTCGTTCTTTCATCGTACCCAATATCTTTCTTACGCTCATCATACCCAATATCTTTCTTGCGTTCATCATACCGAATATCTTTCCTTCGTTCATCATATCCAATATCCCTCTTTCGTTCATCATACCCAACATCCCTCCTTTTTTCATCGTACACATTATCCCTATTATATAGATTTTCATAATCACGTCTACGTTCATCAATATAAGTATCACGATTAAGAGATTCACGTTCATGGTTACGTCGACGAACATCTGTTACTTGTGATGATGGTGGTTTTTGTAGTGATAGGGGTGATGGTGGTGGTGATACTTTTAATGGTGCTGTTGTCGTTGGTAATGATGATAATGGTGCTGTTGTCGTTGGTAATGATGATAATGGTGTCGTTGTCATTGGTAATGATGATAATGGTGCTGTTAATGATGATTTACTTATTTTTGGATCTTTTAATTCATGAACATGATGAGTTCTAAGAGGATTACGAGTATCATAATCATAATTATTATTATTATAATTATTATTATTATTATTATAATTAACATCATCATAATTGTCATGATGATTATCATCATCTTTACTATCAAGATTATTATTATTTTTCAACAAGATTGAATTACGTAAAGGACTTCCACATGAACTTTTTGATCTTTGTAAATCAGCGGAACTTTTCGTTCTAACTAAAGAACTTTTACCAATTCCACTATTAGTTATTGGATGATTATAATTATCCAAATCATTTTTATCAATTTTTTCAATTTTTTCAATTTTTCTAATGGATTTTAATAATGATAAAGGAGGTGAAGTAGAAAAGATATCTTCAATATTTTCATTTTCATTTTCATTTTGATAGTTTCGAAAATCTGCTGAAGTTTTTGGTCTCACGGGATTAGCTCTTATAGAATTTGCATCTGTAATAGTAGGTTGTAATTTCTTTGATTCACGTGTTGCCAAATCTTCTAACCATTTAAGTTGATATGGTAATGAATTTTTTGCTTGCTGTTTTGAAGAGGTCGTAGTATTAGTGGTGGTAGTAATTGGAAGAGGAGAAGATGATGACCATGACCCTCTACGCCTTAAAATTGGATTATTATCATTATTATATTTATTTGTTGGAATATCCTCTCTTACATTAAATCCAAATTCTTCCCAATTTACAAATTGTTGTTTATATTCCGATTCAAAAGGAACCGCTAAATCACGTGATGCTTCAACGGTCTTTAATTGATCGGCAAGGGTGTACATTGAATAAGAACGGGATTTTTTTGACAAACGGTTAGCTTCCAGAGCGACAATTTTTTTTGTTCGAGGATCCAAAAAACTAGTAGCAGAGACCTGTAATGACGATGGTGATGATAATTGTTGTTGTTGTTGCCTTGTCTAAATATATAGAAATAAAGAACAATAGGAGAAATTTGATAATATGGTGTTAAAAGGTATTGTACAAATGATGGAACACAAGAAATACAAGGAAAATAAGATAAATAAAGTGTATAATGTGTGGCGCAGAACACATTATTGAAATATTATTATTGAATATAATTTGATGCAATATAATTTGATGCAATAATTATAACAGAGGAATAAAGAGATAAAAATGAATAAAAATAGATATAAAAAAAATTGGTCTAAACCAAAACTAGAATTCAAACCGAATATTTCAAAAATAGTAATTAATTCATTGAATGAATAATAATATTAAAAAAAAAAAACTTTACCTCTATTGGATTATTTTCCTTCCTTAGACCATCTTTCCATTTATAATTATTATTATTATTATTATTATTATTATTATTATAATTATAATTATAATTATCATTCTCCGATAATAAATTTTTTGCGGTGTTTAAATCAACAACATCAATAATTGAAGAAGATGGGATAGGTTGAAGAGTCGGAGTATTAGGAGTAGATAGATCTAAATTTTTTATTTCAGGAGTTGCCCTAGATAATTCTAATGAAGAATTATTATTAACCGGAGTAGTAATAATAGTAGTAGTAGTAGTAGAGTTAGAAGTAGGAGTTGGAGTAATGGAAGGAGATTCTGGCCAAGAAAATTCACGTTGATATTCTGTGACAGTTCTTTCTTTGGGACGAGGTGGAACATTAACCATTGGTAACTTCCAAGAATAAGAACTTTGATATTCACTACTATTTACATTATTATTATTATTATTATTATTATTATTACTATTATTATTATTTTCTACTACTACTGTTGTTATTGTGGTTGTTGTTGTATCTGATGTCATTTTTTAATGATTCTCTTTTTTCTTTTGAAGGGACTAATGATTATAAATTTATCTTACTTTTTAATAAAGTGAATTATGATTTATATAATTACAAATATAAAAATAATAATTGAAAAATAAAAAAAAAATTAGAAAATTTCGTAATAATATTTTTTTTTTAAAAAAAAAAGTCCATAAAACAGAAAAAAAAATCTATACAAAAACGCAGTTCGGTGGTAATATTCAATAGCCAAAAGATAACCACCACATAACGTAAAAAACGAACGCAAGCCTCTGCGCCTTTTTTTTTATCTGTTTGACCCAACTGCTATACTATAATAGATTATATAGACCAGATAATAATTGTTCCGTTATTATTTTTCGTTATCTAATTAATTTATTATTTTTGTCTTTTTTATTCTTTTAATTTGTATCAACTATTAATCTCAACTTTGGATTCTTAGAATAAAACTGTTGTTTGACTTTTTTGTTTTAACTTTTTTTTTTATGGTTGGCGAAAATAAAGAAAAAGAAGAAAGATATATCGTGTAAAGATGGAAAACAAAAAAGATGGATGGGTGGTATAAATTGAGGAGAAAAAAAAAATTTTTTTTTTAAAAATATAAATAATTTTCAAATGTTAAAACCTGTTTATTTTGACCGGGATGAATTTTTTTTTTTTTTCAGAGTGAATATATTACCCTAATAGTATATATAGTAATATAGTATCAGTACATATTTTAAAATATTTATACATATATATATACTTTATAATATACCATAAATAATATATATTATCATTATGTATGTATATAATGGATATTTCTTCTGTACGAATAAAATTTGTTTGAAATCAGCTGAAAATTATATCAAAATGTGAAGAGAGAAGAGAAAGAAAAGATAAATTTAGAGAAACAGAAATTCAGATAAAGAGAAAGAATAAATATTTATGATAGGATAATTAAATATTTCCGAATTTTTTTTTTTTTTTTTTGAAATTATAAATTTATTATTAAAAATACCAAGAGTCAGTAACAGTAAAGGGGGAATAGAAATAATTGAAATAAAAAAGATGATGTGATGATTAAAGTTACAAAAAAAAAAAAAGGTGAGGGGAGAAAGACAATGAGACAAATGCGAATAAAGTAAAATGCAATTGTAACCAATTTATATGCCCATATTATTTTCATATTGTTTAATAAATGCAATAAATGCTAAAATTATTATATAATTTTCTTACTAATACTTTTGAAATTTAGGAGAAGTAATAATCTAAAAATGGGTCAGACGTAACATATGAATACTGTAAAAAATTGGTAAATATTGATAAATATTGATAAATAATAAATTTTTTGTAAATATTTTTATGTGAAGGGGAAAACCTCCCTCCCTGATATTTGTAAATCAGGTGACAAAGGGATTGTTATCGCTACGACGATTTCTAACACATGAACGCATTTCAGACGTCATGAGATACACACAATTTATTTAACCTTATTTCACTCAATTTACTCAATTTACTCATTCTACTCAATTTACTCATTCACGATGATCCAAAAAAAAAAAAATCTTTAAAAAAAATAATAAAAAAAAAAATAATAATAATAAATTAAATTAATAAAATAAAAAAAAAGATACGTGTTTAGAATATGTTTGGACAAGACAAGACAAAAAACAAGCCAAGATTATAAAAAGATCATTTATTTGATATATTAATATATATTTGTTAACATTGCATAAAAAGATGCAATGCACCATGAATGTATTAAAAGTATCAAGTTTAAAAGGAAATGTTGTTGTAATGATGACAACAACAACAGTAACAAACAACGAAAAGACTGCTGCGCAACCAATTTATTATAATTTGTGTCTAAGCACTTGCATATTACATATTATGTAAAAAAATATTAGTTAAATATTTAAAAAATATTAAAATATAAAATTGGGGCAATTGTTTCAAAGTGAAAAAAAAAAAGTTTTAAGGTATAGATAACGTACTTTCCATGAATAACATATATATGCCTCTCTCTCTCTCACACACAAATATTATATAGTTAAAGTATACCTTCAAATATACTGTTATCATTATTTTATTTCACTAATACTTTAATATATCTCACTTTTTCATGATTATAAAATAAGAAAGAACATCCAATTAAGCATAATTCGCATAATTCGCATAATTAACGTAATTAGGTAAGAAAAATTAGATAAGTTTACTATAAATATAATAAAGTTATTCTGGCGCCAATTTTTTTTGGCTACATCTTCATCAAAAAGAAATTTTTTGGTAATCAAAGAAAATTTTAGTGATGATTATGAAAAATGTAACAATGAATGGTTTAAATAAGAGTAAATAATGATAATGATAATAACAATAATTACCATAAAAGATAACAATAAATGATGGCTATAATAACAACAATTGTAATTCGTCGTTAGAAATTTTTTGATCGAATTTAACTAATTTAGTTATAATGTTAACTTTATTAAAAAATTTAGTCTAAAAAAAACGGTTGTCAACTTTATGGCGTTAAAAAACTTTACTAAAAAAAATAAATAAATACCCATTTATTTATTTACTTATTTTATTTATTATTTACCTTTAAATTGTTAAGTTTATGCATGAATCACATGAACAAACGAGGGCGTGCATTCAAAGTTTTTTTTTTATTGAATTTATTGATGAAATTTTTTATTTGTTGAATTTTTTAAAATGAATCTTATGGATTTAATCGCGTGATTTCATAAAAAAAAGCATTAATGTTTTTTTTTTCTATCTTAATTTATATAATTTATATATATATGAATATATGAATATATATAAATATAAACCATATACCATACACAATTTTCCTTTTATTTATTCTCCTATCTTCATCTCGCACTACTTATTTATCTTTTCTTTACCAAACTTGACTCACTGTACTTTCATTTTAATTATCTTGGTTTTTTTTTTTTGTGATTACGGTAATTTCCTTATAAATTATAATGAATAGTAAATAATGGTAAATGAATAAAAATAAATAGTGAATAAATAATAAATAATAATAATGAATAAATGTATAAGCAATAAAACTTGTGGCAACAACCAAATAATACGGTAATGGTAATAGAAATGAACAACAGCAATCAACAAATAACGACAACGACGGCAACGATGATAACAACAACAACAACAACAACAACAACAACATAAACCGCAACAAAAGCAACTAACCAAAATTAATCAACAACAAAAATTAACCAACCAACCAGACGAAAATACCTAATCAACCAACAAGAATATTGAACTAATCAACAAATAAAAGACTGACAACGAAGAAACTATTAATTACTGCGCGTGACAAATATAAGATCTCCTACAAAATATTATTTCTTCTTCATTTAGTAATTCACTTCAATTATTTAATTTTCTTCTTCATTAGTAAAGTCAGATTATTATTATTATTATAAAGTAAACCCCCCCCCCCCCCCCCCGAATTTAAAGTTGAATTCGAAGTTGAATTCTTAATAAAGCGAATGTAAAGATGAATACAAATACAAAAGTGGATACAAAATGTGTGAAGTATTGAAAGTATTTTTTACAATTATGTGTATGAGATTTAAAATAGGTTACATAATCACATAATAAATACCTCATCTTTGCATTTTATTTTATTTATATATAATTATATATATTTGTTTACGTTTTTATGTATTTAATTATTTATGTACTTTATTTATGATGTAAAAGAATTCAAACCTCTCTTGTCACATATAACCTTATATCACCTTGAATTTATCACATTTTCGAAATATTTAATCTCGGGTTTTTTTCGGTTCCTTCTTTTCTAATCTGGACATGTTTTGATTCAAAAAAAAAAATAATTAATTAATTAAAATTTATATAGAAATAAATATAATTTATATATATAGAAAATTAAAAATAAAAAAGCTTTACATAGAATTAGATCATACATTTATAAAAAATCTAAAAAGATTTATAGGTGAATACCAAATTCAAATAAAGACAGCGGCATCAATAGATTATTAGAGAGAGAAAAAAAATAAATAAATATTCTATAAATATTTTCATTAGAAAAATTGCCATAATTAATACCGATATATTTCATAGAAATCAATTAGAAAAAGTAACCACACCACATTCATCTTTTAATCAACTACCAACAACATGACCCTTAATAAATATATCATTAAACGATACCCATATTTCCATGTATAAATAGTTTAAATTGACTTTTTTATAATTTACTTAAATTAATTGTTCGACTTCAAAGACTTCAAAAAACTTTTTATAGTTATATTACAGAGTAAAATTTTTTTAATTATTTTTAATTTAGGGCAGTGAAAACAATAAATTCAAATTTTAAATTAACTATAAATTACTTCTGTCTTTAAGCTTATGCATATATTTATAATAACAAATGAGTGTGATCATACAAATTTGCCTGAATCAATTTTTATAGAAAATATTATCAATAATGTTAATATCATAATATTTAATAATAGTAATATTTTAATAATTACAAAATCTAATTATGGGTCTATTACAACCTATATCAGGGATAAATAAGATTAAATATTTTTATTAACATCTTTGGTTAATTTAATTACTATGTTCCAGACTGAATACATAATTAAACCTATAATTAATATTAAGAAATTAAAAAAAATTAATATGTATATATGCAAATAAGAATCATTTAAAAATCTAATAATTAATTCAATTATTTTTAGAAAAAATTATTAAATCTTAACCTCATACCTTATATACCTTATACATACATATAATAATAGCAATTATTATTATTCAATTTTATTAATTTTATGTAATAATAAGAATAAGTGAAAATTTATCTGTGAACCATTTTTTTTAAATTAATAATCTTATATATATATAAACTTGATCATTAAATATATCTATAGACAAACAAATTAAACCTCCTTCAGAAAATATTATCAATAACATTTAATAATATATCATAATACTATTTATAAATAATTGTTGTTATTTGTCACATTATCCAATTATTTTAATTTATGGTAAAGAAAATAATCAAATCAAATTCATAAGTGGAATGTATTAAAAGGCAACATATCACCATTTATTATTCTGATTTAAATTTTTAAAATCAAAAGTAGTTAATCAAAAGGTTCTAAATGAAATAAGGAAAATGCAAAGAGAGGTTGGACAATTAGTAAAAGAAAATAAGGGTTAAGGAAGGATAATGAAAACTTAAGGTGTGATATTGAGGACTTAAGGAGGAATAATAAGGAGATGAAAAGGAAAATTGGATAAATAATTGTTTTCAATAATGGTAACAGTAACAATAATGATAATGATAGCAATAACAATAATGATAATGATAACAATAACAATAATGATAATTATAACAATAATGATAATTAATTATAATTAACTAAATCATTTAATAACTTTTGTTAAAGAACATATTATAATAATATTAAACAATAATAATATTTTCTTATTACATTATTTTAATAATTATAAAATCTCTAATCAACATTCCTTCTCTCTATTTATACTTTATATTTATATATAAAAAATATTATCAATAATATTTAATAATATATCATAACACCATTTATAAATAATTATTGATAGTTGTTATTTTATCCGATTATTTTTAATTTATGGTAAAGAAAATAATCAAATCAAATTCATAAGTAAAAAATCAATATTAAAAGACAACATATCACCATTTGTTATTCTGATTTAAATTATTATAAATCAAAATCTTTTAGAGAGTTATAATAAAATTGCATTTTAACTAATAATTTTATATATATCAAATATATATAAATCTAATTATTAAATAAATCTATAGATAAAACAAATTAACCTTTTTTAGAAAAAAAATATTAACATAAAAATTATATAAATCTTCCTGGAGCTTTTAGTGACAAATTGTCACAGAACATATTATAATAACATTTTAATTTTAATAATTATAAAATCTCTAATCAACATCTCCTTTCTCTCTCTATACTTTATATTTATATATAAAAAATATTATCAATTGATAATATTTTAATAATATAACACTTATTTAAACTTATAAATAATTGTTAATAGTTGTCACTTTATTTTTTTTAATTTCTGGAAAAAACAATTAGATCAAATTTGTTTGATTGCAAAGATATATTTACTTCCTATACATATAATAATAATTATTGTTATTATCTAACTTATTAATTATAAGAATAAGTAAAAAGTATCTGAAACATTTTTGTTAATTAATAATCTTAGAAGAAATCCAAAGTTCTATTCATATCTATATTATTTATCTAATGTTATCTTAGCTAATTTCATTACAAACTGGATATATATAAATTTTATATTAAATAAATTTATAGATAAAACAAATTATATTAAAATCAAATTCCTCTTTCCAACATAAAAATACCTGAAACTAATAAATTTTATATAGAAATTATTATCAATAATATTAATAATAATTAATAATAGTAATATTATTATAATATTTTGATAATAAAGATTTAAAAGATCAAAATAAATCTCTTAGAACAAACAAATGTATACATAACAAATATCTAAAATATTTCTGATTATAATTATAAATCTTTAATTAAAATGAATATTAATTATAATAAATTTATAACATCTAAGCTCTCAAAAGTATATATTATTGGAATTACAATATATCAAAAATTTATTTAAAAGTATAGAAAAAGTTGAAAGATCAAAAAATATTATAGAATTGTAACATTGATTTAAAAAACTGAAATAGTTTTAAATCAAAAATAACAAATAATGTATATACCTCTAAATAATAATCATAATAAATTTTATCAATTATCAAATTCAAGCACAATAGTAGTTTTAATTCTTACAAAAAGTTCTTATTTTTAAATTTATTATATCAAATTCAAAGAATAAAAAAAGATATACATATAAATAATGTATATAATATACATGAAAATTAAATAATAACAATAATAATAAATTGTAAAGAAAAGAATAGAAAAAAAAAAGTATAATTTCTTACAATTTACATTTTTAATATTTTATTCTTATTATAATTATAATTTTACATTTGAATGATCTCTAAGAATTATAGTTTGATTAACATAATTCTTTTTCAATACTTTTAATAATAATAAATTCCAATCTCAGATATAAATAATAATAATATATAAAAAATAATTAATTGCAGAACAATTTGTTTTTTAGATAGAGATCTTTGTTTGGCATGTTAAAAAATAATTTGCTCCATAATTTCATAATTTGTAACAAAATACAACTTATTACATTGCTTTTCCTATCATCACAAACCAAAAATTGGGTGATTATAAATAACATATAAAGGGATATAGAGGGGTGACAGTGATAATCATATTTCTATTCTGGGTTAAGAAGTTTATATATATAGCATCAGAACACAGCCACAACATACATCAATTTTGTTTAATACAATAGATTATTTTTTAATCATTCACTTTGTGTAATCACATCACATTTAACTGTAATCCTGTAATCCTGTAATCCTGTAATCCTGTAATCTCCGTGTTCATTCATTTCTTGGTGTAAATATTAAATGTTGTAAACATAAATTTTAAATTTTCGTGTTGTTTATGTTTACATATGTTTACAGTTGGTAACTTTATAATGTCGTATATATAACGTTGTATAAATATAATAAATATAATAAATAATGATAATAAAAATATGTTTATATGTTTATTTATCAACAACTTCTAATAACAGCTAAGGGTGGAAACTCGTGTCAATAATACACATTCAACGAAATATTGTTCTAAAATTATAAAATGGTAATAATTAAAAATTGATAATGATGTAAATAACAATAATAATGATAATCATAATAATGAAAAATAATAATGAAAAATAATAATAATAATAAAAAATAATAATAATAATATTTAAAGAATATATGAATGAGGTCCTAAATTAAAAATAGGATAAATATGATAAATTGGGATAAATTGGATGAAAAATATACACAAATTAGGATAAATAACAATAATATTTTTAACAATTCCGTATTATTATTATTTTATCTTTGGGAAATATATGTATAATTGACAATTTGATATAATTTGATGATATATATAATCGGGGCATTTTTCATTGATTTTTTTTGATTTTTTAATTTTTTCTAAATTTAGATGATCCGTAATGAACACATTCTTGGATTATATATAAATATAGTATCCAGTTGAATATACAAAAATATATATCTTGATTTTTTTCGTTCATTTGTATAATTGTTTATTGTGATTATTGTGGTCATTGGTGATTAATTTTAAGTCATTGGGATTATTGACCACGCATTCACATACATAAATAATAATGACTAATATAGTAATTTATTAAAAAAAAGATTATAATTGGTTGATTATATTTGGTTGGGTTGAGATTATTAAAGGAATAAAATAAAGCCTGTATAGTTAAAGTTCTTGGTATAAATCCAATAAATCTAATAAATCTAAAATCTTATAAATCTTATAAATCTTAAAAATAAAAGAATAAATAATTTTAATTTCCACATTCGAAATCCTTATTATCATTATTATTATTATTGAAGTATACAAATTTGGGATCATGAATGGTGGTAAATTAATATAAATATTAATATTAATATTTATATTAATAATATTAATACTTAGATTAGTACTTATATTTAAATTAATATTTATGATTTCATCAATTTATCATTCATCAATTTATCATCAATCGAGAAAGAAATCCTGGCGACTAAAATTGATTAAAGAATAATTCAAAGTTTATTTAAAAATTAATTAATAATTTATTAACAAAGAAAAAAAAAACCGTAGCTTGAAGTTTTTATCTCCATAAAAGGTGTTATAAAAAATATATATATCAAATAAAGATGACGAATATTATAGGGAGATACATAGAGATGATAGACTTGCATTGCATTGCAGAGGTCAAGAGTTGTTTTTTATTAAATTAAAAAAATGACTGATATATATATGATCTCCCTTACGCGTATTATTAACGAAGAAAAGCCAAATAAATAGTTATGCATATAGATTAATAATTATATAATTCATAATCGCATTCATTTTACATTTTCCATTTTCCCGAATAATTTAATATGTATTTTTTTTTTTATTAATTTTATTTCTTATTTTTTTATTAATTTTTTTTTTAAGGAGAAAGAAAAAGACGAATAATAACAATGATAATAAACAATGATAATAATATAATAATAATTATTAAAATTATAATTGTAGTCACGGACATCTCCAACAAATTTAATGCATTTTAACAGCCGTTCGCTCGTGCACTTACACATAGTTACATTATTCCAGCCAGTATATATTTTAATTTAGAAACTCTAGATGCAGTTAGGCTCAATCAATCAAATCACATAAATTTTAATCATGTGAAATTCGATTAGTTCAAGATATCACCTGACTTTAATCAGATTTTTAAGAAATTTAAAATCTCTGTTCTTCCTTTTCTTATAAATAAATATATATATATATTTATTTATTTATTATCCTTTATTTAAAAAAATGAAAACAAAAAAAAATGGAAAAATCACCAATAATAAAAATATTAAAAATACAAATGATAATATAAATAATGATAATAATAAAAAACCTTCTTACACAATAACGGATTTGTTAACAAAAATTTCATCATTAATAGATACATGTGATTATGAATTAGCATTAAAGTTTGCTAATCGAGCATTAAGCATGGATGAGAATAATGTACAAGTTTTGGAAATTTTGGGAACTATAGAAATAGAATTGGGAGTGTTTGATGAAGCCAGAGAGGTTAGTAAATTATAATTAATAATAATAATGATAATAATTAATAGATTATGACAATTAATTAATATTCCATATATATTTCTTGTAATTTGAAATTATTATTTTTTTTAAAAATAATAATAATAATAATAATAAAGAATTTATCAAAAGCCATTTCAATAAATCCAAATCAAGGTTACTCAAAATATTTATATATGGGACAATTGTCTAGTGGTTTAGAGGCAATTAATTATTTTCAAAGTGGAGTAAATTTAATGATTTCTGAATATAAATCTCATCTTAATAATAATAATAATAATAATAATAACAATAACAATAATAGCATAAACAATAACAGCATTAACAATTACAACAATAACAATAATGACATTAACAATACAAATATTATCATTTCACAACAAGAAGAAAATTTAAATCATAAAATTTCTACTGCATTGTGTTCAATGGTTGAAATTTATTTAACTGATTGTTGGTAAGAGAAGTAATTATAATAATAATAATAATAATAATAATAATAATTTATAATCTTTAATTATTTGAAATTATAATAATAATGACGATGATAATAAATTATTATTATAGTTTTGAATCGGATGCAGAATTAAAATGTGAAGAATATTTAAATCAAGCATTAGAAATTGATTCAAATAATTCCGAAGTTTATCAAATATTAGCTTCGGTTCGAATCTCTCAACAAAGGAACGATGAAGCGAAATCGGCTTTACTAAAAAGTTTAGATATATGGTCTCATTTGGAACCAGGTGACAATTTTCTGAAAATTTCGAATTAAAATAAATATTTTTGAAAAATATTTACTAAAATATTTATATATATATTATTTATATAATATTTATATAATATCTAGGAAATCCATTAATACCTTCTTATGATTCTCGTGTATCTTTGGTTAAATTATTACTTGAACTCTCCTTATATACTCAAGCTCTTTCTGTACTTGAAATCTTACAAAAAGAAAATGATCAAATAGTCGATCTTTGGTATCTTTATGGTTGGTGTTATTATTGTATGAGTCAAGGTAATCAAGATGGTCAACAAGATGAATTGTTGCAAAATAATAATAATAATAATGGTGATAATGGTGATGATGATAATGAACGTTTAGCTCATTTAGAAGATGCTCGTGATTGTTTGATTACTTGTCAAAAGGTAAGAAGAAATAAAAGAAAGATATATATATATATATTATTAATGAATGCTAATTTTTTTTTTATTTCCACCAGTTATACCAACAATTAAATGAAGATTCTGATAATGACGAAAATGATATTTTGAGACATTCCCAAGAACTTTTACAATCTATCAATTCTCTCTTAAGGAATGATCATGAGGATTATGATGACGATGAAAATGATGATAATGATGGTGGTGCAGATGAGTGGGAAGATTTTGATGATGATGATGATGATGATGACGATTCTAATCAAATGGAAATAATGTAAAATATAATAATAATAATAATAATATTATTATTATTATTATTATTATTAAAATAAATATTGAAAAAATAAAAGCCCACCTTCAATGCATCCGCGAATACTTTATTGATTTTAGAGTTTTGTATTACATGATTCATGCGTGATCAATCAAAAACTCCGCGCAGGTGGCGTAAATATTATGGAACCATACGAGGCATTTGATTTTTCTCGAATAAAGTTACCCAATTGATCCAAAATTATTTTTAATTAATTGATTTTCTTTTTGTTAAAATGTCGCGTATTACATTTACGTTTTTCACATTTTCACATCACCTTCAATATGTAACGTTGTACAACATTTAGCCAATTTTTCAATTGATGTAATTGATGTATTTTCAGATAATAAAAGTCTTAATTCATTCGCATTACACCATAACACGTAAAAAATGCGCGTCATAATTGTTATAATTATTACATTTATTATATTATTTGTTCTATGTTAAGAAGATTTAATATCAAAGACGGTAATAATTTTGTTGAATGAATTTTGAATGAATTTGTTTGAATTGTATTGTTGATATTTTACAAAAAAAAAAAATTTTGGCTGTCGTAATACAAAAAAATAAATATTTTGTCATACCGCCCGCATGTAAAGAAATGAAGAAAACTAAGGTGTAAACATGTGACTTAATCAAAATCGAGAATATAAATTTAAGCCCTTAAAGTTATTTTCAAAATTTACACACAAAACCCTGATTCTTATAATTTTAAAAAAAGTAAATCTCCAATATTTACTAAGAAACCTATTATTATATATTATATTTTTAAGTGGTTCACAAGTAGTACAATAATACAAATATTAACATTATTACAACTTTCAAAAAAAAAAAAAAAACTAGAATAGAAAAAAAAATGTCAAGTCCCGCAACTTTCCACCAAAGTTTTATAAACTTGCCAGAAATCCCAGTTTCCCCATATTATAGTCCACAAAATATTTCTAATTATAGTCGTGATATAGTAATAATAGACGATAGTGACGCTGAAGGAGATGTTACTACTTATAATAACGGCAATTCTTTATTCCCATACAATAATAGCAATTTATATACATACAATATCCAAAATCGAAGCCCTGGTGGTTCAATTATTAGTATTTCTTCTGGTACACAAACTTCAACAGATATAAGTCCTATGAGGTCAAATACTAGTCGTTTCTTTTCACCCAATAATCGAGAAATCACTTCTGTTACACATCAGTCGAGACCTTCTCCCTCAGGTAATAATATATCAAATAAATAATATTATAAATGATTATAATGATTTTGTATGAATGCTAATAAAATGAATTTTTCAATCTTTTTCTTTTTTTCATTTAAAAATAATTATAATGAAATAATAAATGAAATAATAAATGAAATAATAAATGAAATAATAATAATGATAAATGAAGTTGATACAGGTGGTTTTATCCTTACTCCCAACAGCACAAATGTAATTCTCATTCCAGAAATGTTAGGATTAATCTCTAATAATCATAATAATAATAATAATAACAATAATAATAATTATAATAATAACAATAATAACAATAATAATAATAATAATAATGAAATTCAAATATTAAATCGTCCACCTACACCACCACCTCGCGAAAATACTTTACCCGGTCATACACATAAAATAGAAGAGGATCAAATTCTTATTTGTGCTGAATGTGATGAACAACTTTCTGAAGGATTATGGGCATTAAGTTGTGGTCACGTAATTTGTGGAAGTTGTGCCAAGAAATTTAAGATCAAAAAGAGAATCAATTGTCCTAGTTGTAAAGCTAGAACTAAACCTAATAATATGATACAATTATATGTTTAGAGTTTTTGGAGTTAATTAAATTGAATAATTATTGAATAATTATTGAATGATTATTGAATGATTATTATTGGATTCTTATTATTATTTTGTATCTTTTTTATCTTTTTTTTAAAAAAAAAAACAAAAATTACAAAAATTACTAAGATTACTAAAAATTACCTACTCATATATATAAAAAAAAAAGACTTTTTATTCTTGCTTTACGCGCACATATATATATATATAATAATAATGATGATAATAAATAATAAAATTATGAAAAAAAAGGAAAAAAAAAAAACTAAAAATATATATATATAATAATTAGATTTGCTTTTTAGATAAGAGATTTATAGAATACAAAAAAAAAAAAACTAAAATACATGAATATTACAACTTCTCATTACTTTTTTAAATATATTGTATGAATATTTTTTTTCATTCACTAATTGTATGCAAAATATTTTCAATTATTAAAAAAGGTAGAAAATTAAATGTATTCTTTTTTTAAAGAAATATAATATTTGTGTGTATAAATGTAAAAGGGAACGTTACAAAAAACCAAAAATTTTCTTGATTGAAAAAATAATAAATAAAATGAATAATGGTTCAACTTTCTTCCTGGGTGGAATAAGTAATAATTGGATTATTTGTTACTTGAGATAAATCTTCGCTTAGATCAATATCTGTTTCAAGGGACATTTTAGTATCTTGATCAATATTTAATTCTTGAGATGATTCTTTTTTTTGATTCGTATCAAAAATGTCTGTTTCAAGTGACATATTAATATCTTGATCATTATTTTCATTATTTACATTTTCTAATGATTGTTGTTGCTGATGTTCATTACCATTATTGACGGAATCTTTTTCTTGATTGATATCAATTGTCATATCAGTATCTTGATCAATATTTACATTATTTGCATTATCTGGTGATTGTTCATTACCATTATTGATATCCTCAGTTATCGATTGTTCTTCCTGACTTGGTTGATGGCTTTGTTGCTGATTTTGTACAGCAGGTGTTATATCACCGGGTGGTACGGATTTTTGCAAATTTAAATCATGTTCGGAAGTGTGTTCAGATGTAATGTGATTTTTTGATTCATTTGAAGAATCTATGACCGTTACTAAATGAACTTCCTTTGATGAGTCATCATTGTTTTGATTTAATTCTGTATTGATTTCAATGGGAGACTCCCTGGTTTGTTTCATCGTAACTTCAGTGGAGGACTCCTCAGTAAAACCATTATTTTGATTGGTTTTTTCAGTGGAGGACTCCTCAATGAAACTATTATTTTGATTGGTTTGTTCTGCGGAGGACTCTTCAGTGGGTCCATCATTATGTTCCGTTTTATTAAGGGATTTCTCGATAAAGCCATTGTTTTGGCTAGTTTTTTCATTCGTAACTTCAGTGGAGGACTCCTCAGTGGTTCCATAATTTTGTTCTTTTATAACTTCAGTTAAAAACTCTTCAATAGAATCATTGTTTTGGTTTGATTGTTCACCGGAATTATTGTTTTGGTTTTCTGTCATTATTTTATCTTGGTTTTCTGTTATTATTTTATCTTGGTTTTCTGTTATTATTTTATCTTGGTTTTCTGTCATCATTGTATCTTTGTTTTCTGTCATTATTTTATCTTTGCTTTCAATTCTGATCCCTTTGTCCTCGTCTATATCCATATCGCTATTAGATTTGTTTCCTTCAGCGTCAAAACTATTTTCAGTCTGTTGCTCAGTCTGTTGCCCAGTCTGTTGTTCAGCCTTTTGTTCAGTTTTCTCGGTTTTCTCAGCTTGCTCGGTCTGTTCCGGTGGGTTCATCTTTTTTTTCAGACGGTGTTGCAAGAAATCAAATACACTTTTAATTGCCGTGCCAGAAGTATATTCGTGTTTGGGATGACCTTTCGATATTATTTTTTTTTATTGAAAGTGTGATTAATAAATAATTCTGTAAAATAAAGAGTTATTATTAAGAAAGTCTTTATTACCAGCTGAAACACAAAAACATCCATAGTATCCTGTTGCTTCATCCATTTTTTCCGCCAAAGGCTTGTGTGACTTGATCCAATTGCAGGACATCTTTGAAAACCAATCCTTTGATTTGATAGGTACCATTGAGGAACTATGTACACTATCGGTAAGAGCAATAGCAACAACGCGTGATTTGAAATCATTATCTAAAGAAAATAAAAATTATAATATATAAATATATAGAGAGAATTATAAATTGAATAAAGAGAATTAATCAACTTACCTAATTTATGTAATAGAGCAAGAGTACTAATCCCGCCATAACTATGAGCCACAATCAAGATATGCTTAGCTTCAGCTTCACTTTATAATAAATAAAAAAATTCGGATTTAATTTAAGAATTCATTCTTCATTACAAATACCAAATTAAAAAAAAATTAAAATCAAATAACATTCGCTATACTTTATAAATTTATCCCACACATATAAACAATGTTCTTGTAAGGATTCTGAACCAGGTATAAGTACTCGACTAGTACCCTTGTGATGAATAACGATGAATGGTGATAAATAGTATTAATAAATAGTTAGTAGTTTTTCATGTAAAAAATTAGTTAGAAGTCGGTAAAAAAAACTCACTTCGTCATTTTTAATTTCTACCGCATTATTGTTAGGATTAAATACAACGATACCCCAATTTAACTCTTGCGCTTTTTGAATGTATGGATACATACTACCAAGCTAAAATAAATAAATAACTATACAATTAATCTCTTTCACTTCTTAATTTTAAATCCTGGGCAAAGAAATGTATATTAATTAACCTCAAGAGATTCATTCATGATTACTATGAATTTTTCAATGAATTAAATGAATTAAAATAATTCCTAATATAATCAGTATGTATTTATCTTATATATTATTTTAATGCAAAAAAAAAACCTTGTCGCGCCCATTGTCCGGGACGTACAACCCCAGATCCCTGGATAAGCAAAAGCAAATTTTGACATTCGAGTGCGTCTTCACTAAGAGGACAGGAAAAAAATACATATATAAACTGGTAAATAATTGTTTCTTTTCCTTTTGAATCCCTCCCATTTAATTATACCTGAGATAAATTCTGCTCTTGGGTTCATTATCGTCCTCTTTCAAACCCACTGGAATAATTTTTCTTTTGAGTCCAAATTTTGACACTAATTCACTTTCAATATACTCTCCAATAATAACTTTTTTGAAAAAGTAAAAAATTTTATTTATATTATGATTTATCTTTGATTTTTAAAAAATTACAAAGGTTTAACTAAAAAAAAAAAAAAAAATCTATAATAAATTCTACAGTACCACCCAACGCCTCATAATGACGTTGGTTATAAGATTGGTCGTCAGGTTTAACGAAAAAATTAAATTTATCGTCTTATAACAAGATCCGTGAGAATGGAGAAGAAAAAAAAGTTAATCGAATTCTTTCTTGTATGATCTCATAGTTAAAGTAATCAATGAAAAGTTTTTGTACTTGTTACAATATTACGCAATTCTCCTGCTTCATTAAACTTGTATCCAAAATCTTCGATAGTTTTATAAGAATAAAAATCATAAGATTCGGTCATTTTTTTATTAGAATTCTAATGTGAAGAAGTTGTCTGTTTTGAATTGATTTCTATGATCTATTTTTACTACACCAATAGGCAATGCAGATTTAATTTAATTACTGATTAGTAATAAAAAAAACAATGACATATTTAACGATTAAAATAAACAAACATTATAATGATCTGCAAAAATATCAAAATATGTATATCATTACTAATGTTATATCTTTTATATAGATTTTTAATTATATCTACTTTAGAATTTTCTCAATTTATATTTGATCTAAAATATTACTACTGCTACTTTTAGAATTAGAACTACTACCCAATTTGGTGTCGAGAAATTTTATCGAAATTTCCTCCTTTATTTATGCTCCAAAGTGCAGAATCGTAATGAGTCGCAATATTAATTGCCTCTAGTAACACCTGAGGTGCCCGATATTTATGCAAATTTTGCCACAAAAGAACCGGGATACAATAATCTCGAAAACAAATTCACGGAGAAAGAAAAGAAAAAGAAAAGCATGGCACTTGTATATTTATCACAATTTCCATTATATCCAGCCTATGCAGATCAGTTCCAAAGTCAAATTGTTATTCCGACCACTTGTAAACGTTGGTTTATGAAAATGCTTTTGCTCGTTTTATGCATTCCTCCACCCGTTCTGCAATTACACCATCAGGCTGAGATCTTGTTTCCTCCTCGAAGCCAAATATATATAGCTATCATCTGGGTTATTGTCCATATAAATATACTCAATATACTCTGATAATGAGAGAAACAAATCGGCAGGCTGGTACCTTCAGATACTCTTCCCACTATTATAATCGGCATAATCAGATTAAATATCATGTGTCAGAGCAAAAGTATTCGTTTTGATAAATCAATGGTTATTTTTTTTAATATATCAAATTTCATGCAACAAAATAGTTATCTTTGATGCATCTATAAATAAACAATTATAGGTATATCAAAAAATAACACTTTTTTCACGCGTATCTTGATATATCAAAAAAAATAACTATATCAAAATGAACCTTTTGCATCAAAAACGATACCTTTCAAATCAGACTTGTCGATCACTTCACACGAATTTTTTAAACACGATATTGCAATGATTTAAAATACCCTAGTAAGGAAAACCATTTATACATTTTTTTTATGAATGATTTTTACTGGATTAACGTTGTTTTCTGAATATAGCTTTTAAAAAGTTTTTGGACTTTCGGCAGAGGATAGGTCTGCACCTATGGGAACAATAGTTCCGGACAGTCCCATCCCTGTCCATTGGTAAAGGATGTAAGGTACCTAAAAATCCATTTCATGCATAACAGTAATTTAAAATTTTTATTCGTGTTACATTAATTTTCGGATTCAAATTTTATAATTTCCGATTCTAATTTTGCGATAAATAAACATGATTTTTTCAAAATCATTAATTCATTTAAATTACGCATAGGGTCATACATATCGTAGCAATTTAACAATTTTAATCGACATTGACACTATTAGGGTTTAAATCATTTTATTCATTCCAATGGTTGTTCCCGGTATGTTTAATCAGTTTTAATTTTAACGAATCATCTATGATTAATATTTATTTTGATATTCTTCTTAAACCTTTTTAGCCGAACTAGCAACCCAAGCAACTTGTTATGGATTACCATTCGGAATGTTCGGGATATTCTGCTGGTCTTTCACATTTTTCAGTGTGTCTTTGACGCATGCAAATTGTCCTGTATTTACTCCTTGGAAGTGGGGTAAAGACTATAAAGCACAAAGCGCATTACTTATGACCGTTTCAACCATTTTAATACTAGGACCGACCATCTACACATGTTTCAAGTGTAGGTCGGAATGGATAATGTTACTTGTAGCACTTGGACAGCTCACACCCTGGAGTCTTAAGATAATGAATGATGGTTTCGTAAGCCTAAAATATGACGACGACAATGGTCTCTGGAAATCTTACAAAATGGCCGGTATTATTCTTACCATCCCTTTTTCACTCGTAGGTTGGATCGGAATGACAGCACTAAGCATTTCGCTAATGAAAACAGAAATGGCAGTTAGTGTCTGGATATGGTCATTATACCTAGTTGCATTGATTGCAATGATGTTGACATGTTTGGTTGAAAATCTTACCTTTCGCTTTTCAATGATATACATCTTTGCAACCATTCACATTATTGGGTCACATGTAATTTTTGCACTTATTACTGGTCATTGGGGTGGACTTGCTACTACAGGTGGTGGGTTAATATCAACAATTGTTTTTTTTGTTGGAAAACGTCTTTTATTTTTTGATTTAAATAAATGATGTTAGAAGGAATTTTGTCGCTGTATAAAAATTTTTGACAAGATTTCTGATTAACGTTACGGAAGGCAAACGACTTAATGTTAATTTTACCGCATGCTTCGTATAAGCATAACCATCTTATCAGTCAGTGGAACTGTCCTACTGATCGACGAGCAAATTTAAATTTACCTTGTTTAGAAAACTAACTTAATTTATTAATAATATTAATTTAATATCTAATTTTCATTCTATTCATTTAATTAATACAAAATTTATTTGAATAATTTTCTTTTTTAATCTATTAAAAGTTGTTAATGTTATTAATCTGGATATAAATTAAAATAAAAAGCCAGTTTCTTTTTACATAAAAACTAACTTTATCATTAATTAACAACACGTCATGCTTACGTTAGGCATACGTCTATAATTATGTCATGCTACCCATTATTTTTCTTAATTTTTTCCGATCAAAGATATAACATATGTATAAATAAATTGTAACCATGTTCGTTGTTGAAGGTAAAGCATTGATAAATACGGCATCTAAATTCAATACAATAAATGAAAGATTGATCAAAAAAACTGGAATTGGATTATAGAGTGAAACGCGTCTCTTCACAAGTTAAAAATTTATATAAAGATGTGGTGAGTGAGATTTGCAGTTTGGATAAAGGAAAATGGCGAGGCTTAGATCACATTGAAGTAATTAAATTTGTAATACGAAAAATCCAACATTTGATCTAGTGTTAGGACAAGAGTAGCTATGGACGCATGAAGTGAATATAAGTTTTAAACTATCTCACAAAGGAGAGTATGATCCTCATGCTAAAATGTATTAATTTGACTTATCTTCCAATCAATTTACTTTTTTTTTCTCATAATTGCCCGTGATATTTTATACGTGATGCAATACTTGATATAATTACATAATATACTCAAATAAAAAGCGATTAACCAACACTGTACCATATAATCTAAGCTCCTTAAGGCTTGCTTCGCAGAGATATCATATAGACCACATTTATTCCAGATTAAGTGTAATCGAATTTGATTTAAGGGATAGAAAGAAAAGATATAAATGTGGATACCCGAATTTGAGACAGAATCGAATTTATTATTCTCAGATTCTGAAACTACTGATCCAAGTACGTCATCCAATTCAGGATCAGAAAGTACTCATGAAAAGAAGTGTTGTAAGCAAAAATGCAAAGTTGCTCACCGAACCCACATCAAAAAATTATCTAACATAAAATGCTGAGAATTTTTTGAATTGTGATCCGCAAAAGGCAGTATTGTACACGGACACTGTCCATGTGGATGTTCGCTGTCCGCATATTCAATCAGTTATTTGTCATGCGGACATGTCCAATGTCCCACGGGACACTTTGATCGTGCCAATAATAAATGACCTTCCGTGATTGGCCACTTCGAATACATGTGATGTCGATCATCCCGTAAATTTTACATACTGTATATCCTGGACGCGGGCGTCCTGTCCAATGTCTGCGTCTCGCGTCCGGTGACAAAACTGTGCAAAGGTATCGTTTTGATATACCTATGGTTATTTTTTTGATAGACTTGCAAAGGTATCGTTTTTGATACGTTATTTTTGCAAAAGTATAGATCTATGGTTATGTTTTGATTGGCTTATTTTTGAGTAACGTGATGCAACTAAATATGTAGTGTCACGTGCTTATAGAATACACCCGTACAGGCTTTTATCTGCACCTTCCGAATTTCATTGGTCCAGAATTTTACAGGTGATCAAAATTTTCTCACATATAGAAAAATTCTAAGTTCTAGTAGTCAGCAAATATGTTAGGGATATACAGGTATGATGATAAACTGTACGGTACAAAACATTATTTTATACTGTACGATTTTATATTTTTATATTAAAAAGCCAAACAGTACTAAATATAAACCCAACCCCTGTAATATATATTATTATCTATTTATGTCAAAATTAGGAGTTAGGGTTTGTGTCATATACAAATCAATTAGAGATGTTACATTTTATTATTACCACTTAAACACACCCCAACATTCAATTTTTATTATATTTTTTAGGGACTTAGAATTTTTTGGGTTTAAAATATTATTCATCACATTTATATATCATCCAAATAAAATTCTCACAGTTAAAAAAATCACGTGATATTAATTAATCAACTGTACAAGTCACAAATAAATCGTATAAGTTACTATTCGTACAGTACAAAATAGCATTTCGTATCATACAGTTTATCTGTATACCTGGGATATACAGATAAACTGTACAGTATGAAATATTATTTTGTACTGTACGAATAATGACTTGTACAATTTATTTGTAACTTATATAGTTGATTAATCAATATTACGTGATATTTTTATTTTATATTAATAAATAATTTGTATTCATATTTACAAATATTTATTAAGTTCTCTTCTATAAACTTTCAAAATTAAATAACTTGTTAATTTCTAAAGATCTCAAAATGAATTTACTATTATTTAATCTTTATATTAGAATTTAACTCTTGTATCAGGTTTTAGCCATTACATCAAATTTTATTAGATTGCATCAGAACTAATTTCTAGATTCAATTAGCTAAATTAAATCTAATTAAATTTCTGGTTCAATTCATATTGTATTTACTATTTCTAGAATAGTATTTATAAATTTTGACTAGTAAAAGAAAAAGAGTGAAAGATAATTTTAAAAATTATAAAGAAGTTTGGTATAGTTGAATTAAGTTAAAATTTAATTAGTACAATTGAATTGAACTAGAATTTAATTAATATAATTAATTGAGTCAGAATTTAACCAGAACAAAATTAATTAATTAAAGTATAATTAATTAAGTCAAATTAAAATTAATTGAGTTAACTATTACTATAGAAGACCTTATTAATAATAAAAATTTTTTAATTAGAATAATAAAATTAACTAAATTACAAATATTAATTTTGATATATTTATATTAATTAATTAATAAATAAATATTAATAAAATAATAAAAAATATTTTTATTTTTAATTATTTTAATTTTTAAAATTCTAATAAAAAAAAATAAATTTTATTATTTATTATAAAAATATTAATAGAATATTAAAAATAATATATATTCTTTTTTATTATTAGTATATATTTTATATTTTCAAGAGATAACAAATTTGAAGACAAACCTAAAGACAATAGATTTAATATAATTCTAATTTTAAAAGATTATATTTAAACAAGTATTTTGAGATGTGTAGAAAATTTTAGATTGTTACTTAAAAAATCTAATTAGATTATAAAATAATTAACAAAATTACACAGATTTATATTTATATAAAAAAAGAAAAAATATTGTTTAAAGAATTTTAAGTAATTATATAAACATTAATCAAAAACTTAAAAATTCTATACATATTAAATATCAGATAAGTGTAATATTCATCTCCAATATCAGATATTAATCAGATATCCAATAGGTATAAAAAATATTTTATATATATATATAAAATATTTAATAAATATAAAAAAATATTTTTTATATCTATTGGATATCTAATATATATCTGATATTAAAAACAAATATTACACTTATCTGATATTTGATGTATGTAGAATTTTTAAATTTTCAACTAGTAAAATATTTATTAATAATAATAATTTTAGTAAACAAATATATCTATTAAATAGTTTAAGGGATACAGATCAACTTAATGAAAAAAAAAAATTAAAAATTATAAAAAATACAAAAAACAGATATCTAAATATATTTTGAAAAAAATAACAAAGAAATAATTTTATATATAATATTTATTTAAATCTTAATCTTAATTTAATCCTTATTCTAATATTAATTAATTTTAGATAATATATAATAGACACTACTATAGATTATACCTACCACCCAAATTCAAAATCCAAATGCCGAAATCCCAAATGCCAAAATTCCAAATCCCAAATTCCAAATTATGATTAGTATTTTTTGCCAAAATCCCAAATCCCAAATCCCAAATACTAGTAATTTGGGATTTTGGCGTCCCAAATCCCAAATGATTTGGGATTTGAACAACACGTATACTATAGATATCCTTTATTTTTATTCTTTCTCAATATTTATATATATTTAAAAAATTATATTTACAGTATTTTACAGATATAATATTTATTATAAAATATTCTTTTCATATTATAGAATACAATATAAAAAATTACAAAATAAAGAGAAACATTTAAAACTTTTTTAATTATTAAAAAAAAGATAACAATATGTATTATTTTTTATTAAAAGTTAATACTTGTTCTAATAATAGAAATTAAAATTAAAAATAAAATATTAATTAATTTTAATTTTTTCAAAATAACTTGAACTTTTTTAATACTTTATTATAAATAATAGTATCTAAAACAATTTTAAATTATAAATATTATTTTAATTCAAAATGAATATTTCCAATATATTAATAAATATATTGATACTGTTTATTCAGATATAAAAAAATTTAATAAAAATATTTTAAATATAATTTTAAATATTAATGAAATATTATTAGATAATAAAGATTTTAATTACATAGATAAACTTATTTAAAAAGAAAACTTATTAAAAGTTTTTTACAAATACAAAAGTAATCAGAATTATTTTTTAGAATATCATATTAAATAATATTTTAGAAGAATATGAAATTTCAAAAATTTATCTACAAGTTTATAAATTATAAAGAAGAATGTAAAGTTGAAAGTATTAAAGATTTTAAAATGAGATATATGTAGATTTAATAATACTTGTTATAAAAAATTTAGTAATAAAGTTAAAATGTAATTATAAAATTCTTTATATTTAAAATTTAATAATAAAAATTTAAATGATTACTATTTTTCAACTCTTGTTTAATATTTTTAAATTTTTAGTTTATTTTTGAATTTGATTATTTAAAATTTTATAATTTGCAATTTATAATTACAGATACTATTTTTACTTTAATTATAAGTACTATAGTACTATTTCAGTTATTGGTTTTATTTTTAAAAATAAAAGTAATAATTAAATAGTTATTTAACAGTAATTCAGAAATTATAACATATAATTAATTTCTGAACAATATATAAAACAAGTTATAAAAGATTTCAGATATGTATTAAATTAATTAAATATAATAATTTAAAATTAGCAATTTTAAATTATTAATTATTGATAAATATTAAGTCAAATCAAATAAAGTCATAACTTACAAATATATGTATTTTTCTTAATTATATACTTATGATTTTTTTAACAATTATAATTATACAATATTTTGCAATATTTGATACATTATTTAATTTTTAATTTGTATAAACAATTTCATTAATAAAAATTGTAAATATTTTTTTTTATAATTTCTAACTCTCAATTAAGTATTTGTAACACTAATTTAATATGCCTCTCTCACCTGCCAAAAACAAAATTTTTAAGGTGCAAGTTAAAAATCTATTTATCTTAGTCAAAAGAGTTTAGTGTTCCAGTAATAGGAATAACCAATTTCAAAAGTTGAAACTATATAATATTTATTAGTAAAAATATAGTAATTAAAAATTTTTAAACTGAAGAAATACTCATTTTAATTTTAGAAATAATCAAATATCGTATTTAACTTTATAATGTATTTACATTGACTTATAATAAATTGGATATTGCTAAAGCTCACCGTGGTGATTGTCACCGCCGGGCAAAATTACATAATTCCCTGATCAACTCCTAACCCTAATTTTGCCCACGTAAATTTAATTTTGCCCAGTGGTGACAATCACCACTGGTGAGATTTAGCAATTTTCTAATATATTTCTATTACAATAATTAATTATTGATTTGTTACTCAATAGTATAATTGGCAAAATTCTATCTTAATAATCTAATCCTAATCCTAAATCTTAATCCTAATTAAGTGAAATAAACATATTATCCATTAGTTCCTTTCCTTATTAGTTATGATGTTTTGTTTGATAAAAATTGATAAATTGTTTATTCATTACGCATCCTTTGACCTTGAAATTTAGAAATAATAAAATAACGAATATTAATTCTTACACTTTAACACCAATAATGTTATGCCATAAATAGTATCAGAATAAGTCTTGTTAATAATATTATAAAGGAAACGAGTTATAAATATTTCTAATTTAAAAAATTCGTGTAAATCTTTTTATTTAAAACAGCCAATAAAAACATACTTCACAATATATACAGAACGCTGTACTATATATGAAAATCTTGTTGGTGTCAAATATATCTACGTCATTGTTACAGTGAAACCTTAATCTTCATAAATTCCAAATCCTGGCATTCAATTAGTAACGATTCTTTCCCCCACATAAAAATTTTTTTTTGTTTAGTTATATAACGTCACTTTTACGATTATTCCTACAAAAACTCATTAACGACTATTAGTTATTTGTCTTTATTTTAATTTCTAAGAAAAACTTAAATATCCTAAATACAATACCTATATCTATAAAGTTGATGCTGAAATCGACTCCATCAATGGGCAGAACAATGGACAAAAGCCAGGAAATATTTAAACCTGGGTCTACTTTCACTCTCGAAAAAGAGACCAGAAACGGTCAAATAAAGACTTCTGTTGAAGAAGTCAACGGGAATGGTATCAAAGAGTCCAACGGCACTACGATACATAATCGTAGTGCCGAAAAGTCGGACAGTCCCTTGTCACTTTCAACTCCCAATGACTCATCCGAAATGAGTTCATTATCCGAATCTCCATCATTAATGCAAGATGATCTAAAACCAAAAGCAGTTGCTGGTATCACATCAGAAGATGAAACATCAGTAATATTGGATACTACGGAAAACAATCGGAAAAGTAAAAAAAGACGTTGGGATGATCGAGGTCAAATCGATGAGGAGGATGAGGGGAATCCAGCAGTTCGTAGTAAGCTAGAAGGTCTGCACCTTTCTTTCAGCTTCATATTTGCGAACGTTATTTTTGATTTTAAAGTCTTTGGTGACAAGCTATTATCATTACCTATGTAATTTCCGGTCTAGTTAATGACATCATCAAAACATTCTTTATGATTCATGCGGCGCAGATCCTTCTATAATTATTTACTATCTTGTTCTTTTTTTTAAAAAACAGAACCAACCGAATGTAACAACCAAACAGAAGTATTAAAAACGATAGAAGTTGACTTTGTACAGTTAAGGGAGCAGTAAGCATTATGATGAATATTTTTTATTCGTAAGGAAATTTTATATATATTATTTATTACCATTTTTAATTATAGGCTGTATCGTGAACAAGTCCGAGAGCATGATAAGGATCTCGAAGACGTAAGGAAAGGTAAAATTTGTTCATTCCGATAAATAATTAGTTTTAGATATGAGATTTTCATTATAGATATAATGTAAAAATATAAAATAGGAGTTCACTCTGAACAAAAATTGCGCATGGAGGAAATAGAAAAGAAACGTTCAAGACGCTTAGATGTTATAGCCTCACGGAAACGATACCAAGAACTCCATTGTCAAAAACAATTTGAAGAAGTTCAGTGTAGATTAAGATATCAATTCCTGGTAAGTTGTGACTAATTTGTGACTAATCAAGTGCTTTATAACTAATGAGGAAGACTATTAATTTTATACTATTATACAGGCTGATTCCCGAGAGTTGCGAAATCGTATGTTGGAGAGTTTTGAAACTCGGAAATATGAACTGATACGAGAAAAGAACCTATCAGGTCGCTTGGGTGTGTGTTTTTATATTAAAGCATGTATTGTATTTATTGATATTTATTGAATTTAATTACATTTATTTATATGTTTATAATTTTATATTTGTAAATGTTTAGAATATTCAGAGCCTGATCGAAATTATTTGAGACAACAACAGGAACAACGAATAATTGAATTTGCATATTTACAAGAAAATCATGGTTTTCCAGCTGATATCCTTTATTATAAATAATTCTAAAGCCATTTTTTTAAATGATTTTGTATTTTTGGTATACTTGAACAATTGTATTCTTCCTTAACAGAGATTTTACCTCCTCCATTAGAATCATTGAAACAAGAGGAAATTGAAGAAGATTTATTATTAATGGGAGTCAGTGTTTATATTTAATTTTATTGATGTGAATCGATGTTAAAATATTATTAATCTAAAATTTTTAATATTCTTTGATAGATTACACGAGATGATGATCAAAGTAAGTATTAATAAAGATATAATACTATTCTTTAAAAATGAGATGTTGTTATGCATATATCTCATGGTAATAATTTTATTATCATAGTTCTTGCCCTATCCTCATCTTCTTCGTCACCTAGACCAATCATATCGGATAGTAATAACCATCCGTTTTTTTCGCTGGAAGACCCTGACGTTTATTGCTCGGGAGATCAATTAGTATATTACGGGCAAATTTTTAAAAAAGGGGATTTAGTTCTTGTGAGCGACTCTACATCTGGTCGGTATACAGCTAAGTTTTTGATTGCGTTCGATACTGAGGTAAATTTTCCTCCACTTTTTTTATTATTACTTTAACCATCAGAGAGTCGGAATGTTTAAATCCTGACCAAAATTAATTACCATCAATTACCATTAATTACCATTAATTATAGGCAGTAATACAACGACCTGACGGTTCTAAGACAAGACTTCAACTAAATCTATTAAAGGAAGGAAAATATCAAATACAATTAAAGGAAACCTAAGTCTAAATTTTTTAAAAATTTTTATATGAACAAAAAAAAAAAGTCTGGGACACTTATTTTTGCTTTTTATCAACTTTAATAATCGAGGATATATTTTAATATGTTCTGACGAAATTTTTACATAATCACAATATATTCTGCATCAAATTTTATATGCTTTTATGATTACTCACTAAATACTATTTTATGTATTATTACCAATCACAATTTCGATTTTATTTGTTCGCTATATACATATTATGTACAGATAAAATATCAACAACATAATTGTTTTACCATAATTTTTGGTCTAGTATTATTTTTCTCCATCACTTAATTAGAATCGCATTCTGAATTGGATTTATTTTTTTTCCATAAATAGAAATAAAGCCAGATTTAATCGATGACACATGATCGTGCATATCCATTTTTGATGAATATAAAACGAATTTTAACATAGTCTAGGACTCAATCGAATGATGTTTTTGTCAGTCTCCTCAATACGTATCTGCCTCTAAAATATAAGAATGATTTGGAATATCATCAAGCAGCCTCAGGAGGTAGGCGTAGATGGAAGAGTACAAACCATTTGAACTCCTGGATTTTTATCGACTTCATGATATCAAACGATTCTTCAAGCCTGGAACAACAGAAAACGAAAATATGTTATGCTAGAGTCTCAAGTGATCACCAAAAGGTAGATCTCGAAAGAGAAAATAAAAGATCGCATCCAAATTATGGAGTCATCAAAGACATTGGTTCGGGCCTCGATGAAATTTCAAATGGGATCAAGCAAAACTTTCAAGTGTTTTCAGTACCAAATAGAGATATTAATGCAAGAAAATATCCATTGGTACTCAATCAAACCGAATCGATGAGTTCAACGACACCTTCCACATCTACGATAATTCAATTTTGATCAGCTTTGAGCAAGTTTAATTGTGCCATCATACATGTTCTGTTATCAGGACATACTGTCCAGTATATCGTTGACTGTGAATGTTACGACATTTCTTCCAATTGAAAGGGATGACAATTAATTATTAACATTTATTTTATGAATCATCGTATCAGAATAACTCAATATAGCGTTAAAGCAAAGATTGATCATTCCTTAGAATCATATTTATCTACCGATACAATAAATAATTTCAAGGAAGTTCTATATTCAAAATTACGGAAATATAAAGAAATTCGATTCAACTCTCAAAAAAAATTGACAATATAATTTATCTTTATACAAATGTTATGCGAAATGAAATTACAATAATATATTTATATTCTATTCGGAATCAATAAAAAAAAAAATTATTTATCTTCACATGGCTTCATTCATAATTTCGGAGGCCTTCCTATAAACTTCGAGCATTGTTTTACATTTTTGTCTTTCGCTCGTCAAATTTTCATCCTCTTGTAATAATTCCGAGAAAAGTTCTTCTTTGTATAAACCTTCTACTAAACGAATCTGAACATTATCTTTAGAATGATTAACCAGAAGATGCATGACAGTCTTCGGTACAAGGTCTTGAATCGTTTTGCGTACAATGTTAAAGTATGAAGTGATTAAAGATTCTTGATTATTTAAAGACAACAATAACAAATAAAAAAAAATAAAAAAAAAAATTAAGTTTAGTCTTAATAGAAACTATAATAAATACGCCAAAAATTATATAATACACGTACTTATTAATTGAGTCTCCATCTCTTCTCGTTCAGTTAAACTGCTATTGTCTTCGGTAGAAAGCTTCAGAAAAGAAAAAAAAATTAACATAGAAATATAATTAGAATAATTAGAAATTTTGTAAATACATAATCTGAATACATACATTGTCCAATTTTTTCTCCAGTTCTGCGATGTCTATTTCTGACTTGGAGTATGTTCCACTCCTTACGTGGGTTGATTGATCCGGTAGAACTGTCCTGTCGTTTTTATTACCACTTCCAAAGAAATATGTCAAAAAGGAATCACGTGAAGTGTTACCGTTCTGAAAAGTAAAATCTCTGGATCCGGAACTGCTACCACTAGAATCTTTATGGATATCGGGTAATGAAGCAGTATCTTGACCGTCATCTTTTGCTGGATTTGATTGGAGTGGACTGTTTGAACTAATGTTATTAGTCTAATGAAATAAAAGATTTTCCTTAATAAATTAATTTTTAATTAATTTATCTTAGAAAAACAAAATTCGATGATCATTTACTCTTCTGTTAAGTTTCTCAAATTCTCTTCTTTTCTTTTCATTTCTTCTTATAATTTCCGATATAGCTGCACCTCCGCCGATAAAATCAGGGTGATTTGTATTTATATATGCACTTTCAATGCTAATTAAACTTTTTACGTATTCAGAGGTTGGAACGAGACGTTCACGAAGTAGATCTGAAACAATTTCTATTATTTTTGCATGCAAACGTGGGTAACGACTGAGTTCCTGAAAATTTAAAATATGTAAAAAACGAATATTTGAAAAAAGGTATAACAATTATTATTAAAAAAAAAATTTTTTTTTTTTTTTTTATGTAAAAATTATTATACCAGACTTCCACAATTATGACATATTTTAATCAACTCTTCATATACACGTTCCACGCACCTCTGACTTGGAGGTTCGAGTAATCGAACCTGAGGTTTTACCAAAAGTTCAAAGGCAATTTCTGGAACAAATAAAGATGGTTTGGGACCAGTTGAATTACGAATAGCTGTTCGAATATCTTGTATGGTAAGATCACTGCATGGACTAATAGATTCTAATGCAGCACCATATACATTATTGAAAGTATAATATATTCGTGCACCTCCACACCTGTAAATAACCAAGATATAATGAGTTCAAATAAGAATTTTTTTTTTAAAAAAAAGGAATATTTGAAAATAGTAAAAAAAAGATTAAACAGGAAATTCTTACAATTCTTTTGTTGATACATCTAAAATGGTACCATCAATTGATGAAATATAATCAGCTGAAAATTTAGTTAAAATTTTCAATATCACTATGCCCTGTAAATAATAATAATAATATTATTATTATTCAAGATATTTTAGAGATATTTCAGATATTCAAGATATTCTAAATTAATAAATAATACTCTATCAGCCTTTTCTTCAAGTGTCGGATCACCGTATGATAAAAGTTCTTGGTGTGTTTGAGTTATAAGAGAATTAATCCTAGCTTTCATTTCAGGCAATCTTTCTCTTATATGATTCATAAGAATCTTTTGTTAATAAAATAATATACATATTAATCAATCAAAAATAATAATTCTTTTTAGAGAAAATAATAAAATGACTTGCAAATTTTGTCTTAAGCATACATTATTAAGTGTTTTTGCCAAAAAAGGAGTTCCACATCTTGAAGCGATATTTTTATATGCAGGATGATTTTTAAAGAAGTCTAATTCGGACTTTAATGCTTCATCCATAGGTTTACTGCTGGTAATATCTTGTTGACTACGGTTTACAACTCCAATAAACCCTAATTTTAAAGGTAAAACTCGACCAGTGAGGACCTCTAATGCATTAGTACCAGCATCCATGAGATCCAATTTAGTTAACACTCCAATGGTTCTTTTTCCTATATATTAGACAAAAAGAAATTAATCTAAATATTATAAAATATTATTCAAGATCATTATATTCTGACCTTCCGGATCTACTTGTTTTGCCAATTTCAAACTTTCCGAATTTACCAAATCCACATTTGCAGGACTAACTGCCAATATTAAACTTTTTCAAAAAAAAAAAAATTTAATAGAAATTATTATAATTTATTTCTTTTTTCAATAAAAGGTTTTTGTTGCCTTAATTATTTTTACCTGTTAGGTTTATTTATATAATCAAGAATCAAATTTCGAGTTTGCTTTTCTATATCTGTCGGTTGATCGCCTTAAAAAAATGAAATAATAAAAATCTTAATTAGAATAATCAAAGATAATAAAATAATGAGAATAATGAGAATAATGAAATAATCAAAAATAATCAAACTAATCAAATTAATCAATCAAATTAATAATTACTTACCAACTGGGATCTAAAAGAAGATAAATAAAAATACGAATAAAATTAGAAATTACCAATTTAATAACGGAATGCTGAAAGGTAATTACCTTTGTCAGTCCTGGTAAGTCGACTAAAGTTAAATTAAGAACTTTTGATGAACGTATTTTCAAATGAATCGGTGATCTTGATATTCCTTTGTTCTGACCAGCTACTCTAGCAGTTTCATTTTCAATTTCTTTTCTAATTTCGGAAAAATCAGTAAACTTTTTATTCGGAGAATGTAAGAATTCTCCATATTCTTCGCTGTTTTCATCGTCAAAGTCAGTAATATTGACAAGTTGAAGGACGAGTGGTCGACGTGTAACAATTCCATTACCACGAGGTAAGAAATCACGTTGAACAATATTTTCGAGAACAGAAGACTTTCCGGAAGACTGCGATCCAACAACAATTATTTGAGGTAGATCTATAGTGTCACTCCCAATAGAATTAAATACGTCCTGAAGTTTATTGACTACTGGAATTAGATCATTCATTTTATCACTTTAAGAAGGAAACAAAATATACGCTTTTTTTTTCAAATGTTATACGAAATGAAATTCTTAAGTACTAATAGAATAATTGGAAGATTGATAATTAAAGGATAGTGAAACGAAATAATCAAATTCAGAAAAAAAAAAAAAAGATAAGAATTAAATAATAATGAATTTAATTTATCAAGAAAATCATAGATTCACAGAAAAGGATTGATTAAAAACAATATAAATTAAATCTGGCATTCGGTGTTACGATATCACGAGTAAAAAGATTTGATTTTATATTTTTATATTTATTTAATAAAATATAACAAAAATTTTAGAAATGATTTCTTTCTTTAGGAAAGAAAACGAATAAACTGAAATAGGTAGCTATCAAATAATCTATTCAAAGATTTAACCATTTGTTTACTAAATAATAAAGCATTTTTTCGTGCAATGTGACGATATGACAACTGCATACAAACAACATGGCATATTTTTGATCCATTAAACAAAATTCTTTGAATTTTCATATAATATACAAAAAAAAAAATAATATTTATTAAATTTTTTATTTTCAAGTTTTTTCTTTAATAATTTTTTTTAATATTAAATTCAATACAAGAGAAGACTGGAAAGACTAAATTATGTTAAGAAAATACTAAAATGTTATGAATACGGGAACTGCTAAAATGTCATAACAGTTATATTCACCATAATGACTTGGAGTCTTGAGTCTTCAAACTAATTCAACCCAATAACCATCTGGATCAGAGATGAAGGCAATAGTCGCCGTCGTTTTATCTTAAAGAATTATTCAAATTCGATTCAATCAATTCAATTAACAAATTTAAAATTAGTATTCATTTATAATTGCAAAAATCAACTTACCAAATTTCAATTTTGTAATTTTTTTAATAAAATTGACACCTAATTCCTCAAATCTGAAAATTATTATTATTATTATTATTTACTTTTAATAATAAATAATAAAGGTAAATAAAAATAAGATATTCTCACCGTTTACACGCTGCTTCAATGTTATCCACACGAATCGCGATATGACCAAATCCTCGTGGTTCTTTATTACCATCATGATAATGAAATTCTGGATCAGATTCAGTTCCATAATTACTATTATTTTATTACATAATTTAATTATTGTAATTATTTTGTAAAATTATTGTGATTTTTATTTTAAAAGGTACCTACTGAGTTAATTCTAATACACCTTCTCTACTAAAAGCATAAGCATTTTTCTCTGCGTCAGATTTAGGCAACGTTTCATCTTTACGTACATAGGCAAGAAAATAAAGTGTAAATTTACCCTCAGGAAAGTCTAGTTCATTGATTTTTCTTTACAATATTAAGGATTAAATATCATTACATAAATTGTATATATAATATAGTTTAAATTTAAATAAATTTAGATAACCTTACTTCATTCCTAAAATTTCTTCATAAAATTTAAGAGATATTTTTGGGTCCTTGACCCGAATCATTGTATGATTCTAATAAATTTAGGTTTGACAAATTTCATAAATTTAAAAGGGGAATTCTTACTTTCTTTTATTCGAAATAAACAAAAATAATAAACTTACAAAAGCATAAGTGGAGATGTCAGTAGTCATTTTGTTTTGTGTGAAATTTTTTGTGTGGAAATTAAAAAATGGATCAATATATAGCAAATCAGCAGTATAGTACGATTGTGACAATTTAGTTAGTATCACTTAGTACGATTATTATCACACGATACAAGAATATTGTATCAAAAAAATAAAGGTTAGTAATAACACCTAATTCTAACCTTAAAACCAATCCTTGACCCTAACCCCTAATCCATAATCCTAAATTTTATTATAAACGCGTCTTTAATGAAATAGTATAATAATTATAACGACTAAAGATAATTCCAATCGTACTACCGTAAATCCATCGTACTATACTATTTTTTGATTGGCCAAAAATGTTTACCCAAATTAGAATTATACTAAGATATATTATATATATATATATATATATATTTTTTTTTTAACGTTCACTCAATTCAACAAAATGTTTCAACCTGCGAAACCTACACCTGAAGAAAAGGAAGCACAACGTCAGAATACTACTAAACACTTTACAACATTTTTTATTTATGTTTCTATTATACGCATTGGTAAGAATGATATCATTATTATATTTTTTTTTTCTTTTTCTTACAATTTTCTTCGGTATGCATAAAATACTTATCATTTATATTTATTTTATTTCTTCTTATGATTATATAATTCTTCTTTAAAAAAATTTAATAATAATAGCTCCGTTTGTAATCGATTATTTCTCGAGGTTTCATTATAAAAGTTCATAATAAAAATTATTCAATTGTTTCAATTTATTATTGCAAATAACCAATTTTCATTGGTTCAGATAATCTAGATTTTTGGAAAGAATAGAGATAATTGTCTCAAAAATTCAAAAAAAAAATGAGCAAGCACGTAAAATAAAATATATCTTGGATGATTGATTAAATTTTAATGATTAAATTAAATAATAATCTGTAGTCATGTTATATATATATTGAATCATTATTATGTTCTGAATAAGTTATCTATAATACCTGAGGATAATAAAAACAATTAAAAACGCATCATGTCACTTACATTTATTTTTTAAACATGTCTTTCAACTATTTCTCTTGGTTGTTTTGTACAATGTCAAAAACCCTTTCTTTGATTGATAAAATTGATAACGCAGAGAAAATTAATGAACTCAAAAAAGTTATCAAGGCGAAAAAACAATCACAGACTCATTAGTGATTTTCGAAATCAGCGAATTAAAGTTACAGAAGTTTTTAGAAAATTAAAATTAAAAAAAAATCAAAAAAAATGTCATTAATTCTGGAATTAATGTTAATTTAAAGGTGATCTTGAGGATTTAAAACTGTCATCATTTTCTAAGATTAATGATTACTTTACGAAAATAAACGTATACACATTTACGCATTTACGTATACACATTTTAAAGTATACACATTTTCGTACAGTGGCAGTCAAAAGTATTGCATCATCTGAATAAAAATTTTAAAATTTCAATATTTCGTGACTCAAGTAGCGTTGTATAGCGTCACAGTGATATCAAAGATATTCATTTCACTGTAACATGTGGACGTAACATTGTAAATTTTTAATAAGAAAGCGAGTTGTCCTTCAATAACGTTGTTATCTTTGAAGATTTTTCTTTTCTTTTCTTTTTTTTCTGAGAAAGTTATGATCTAATGGAACTAATGGAACTAATGGAACTAATGGAACTAATATCTAATGGAATTAAGGGTTCAACCTCTTGATGTTTATACAGATTATATCCTCATGGACATTTCCTAACTTCAAAATTTGATGACTTTCCAAAGTTTGATACAGAATTCATTGATTTTCCCAATTGTATTAGAACATATTTTGGAAGATCTTGTAATAAAACTTCTGAACATAGGTATTTATTAGATGTTTATGTTATGATGGAGAAATAAAGATCTGATAAGGAATGGTGGATTATCAAAGATTAAAGAAAAGATCATTGTTATTATTGAGGCCAAAAATGATTCAATTATCAAAATGATTATAATAAGAAACACATTTTATGATGAGGGTTTGCTCAATAATCAAGATTATAAAATTGATGATAAATAATAAATAAATAATAATAATAATTATTATTATTGGTAGCCGAATTTTTATTAATTCACAGACTCTCACTTTCTTTACATTATAAAACTCGCATGAATGAAAAGACTCAAGACATTGTGTAATGGTTGCATCGCTTAACCGTGTTATTTCCACGTGACAATTAAATTTTGAATAAATATTGTGATCATCCATCTGAAATTTTTTTTTTGGATTTCTCTCTCTCTCTTTTTGACAATGCCAGAAGATTCGTTAGTTAATAGTATTTTTTCTTCTTCAAACCCATATTTTTCTGCTGGGGTTGGAGTACTTGGTGTAGGTACAGCTTTAGCTGTCTTACGCTCAGGAATTGCTCGAGGTGCCGTCCTAGCCCGTCGGATATTACTAGTATCTCTTGAAATTCCTTCAAAAGATAAATCTTATTTATGGTTTTTACAATGGATGTCTAAACAATCAACAAGAAGTTCTCATGAACTTTCTGTTGAAACGAATTATATACAACATGATAATGGAAGTTTGACTACTTCTTTTAACTTAGTACCAGGTCCTGGAAAACATTATTTTAAATGGAGAAATATTTGGTTACAGGTGTGTGGTATGTGTGTGTGTGTGTGTGTGAGTGCGTGTGCGTGTGTGCGTGAGTGTGTGTGTAAGAAAACGAATTATTGATTTAAAAAAAAAAAGAAATAAATATTATTTTAATTGAAAAATATATATTCTTTAAAATAATTTATATTTAGTTTAATTTATTTTTATTTTTATTTTTTTTAAAAAAAAAAAAATTTTCGACGCAAATCATAATTATATATCGTACTATTATCATAGTATGAATCATCGTAATTAATAATAATAAATAATAATATTATTAGCAAAAAAGTTTTTATGGATAAATCTGAAATGGAATCAAAGCTTTGCAATTTTAAGATTATATCTTATATTATAAAATCATTGTTCATTTTTTTTTGTGCGGCTTTTTACACATTTCAAATTTGTTCCCTGCCTGAAAATAAAAACTAATGATTATTAGGTTGAACGTACCCGAGATGGAAAAATGATAGATTTAACAACTGGTAGTCCATGGGAAACAGTCATCTTAACGACTTTAAATCGTGACCGTCAGATACTCTCAGAATTATTAAATGAAGCACATAAATTTGCATTGGATTCACAAGAAGGGAAAACTGTTATTTTTACTAGTTGGGGAACTGAATGGAAACCTTTTGGATTACCTAGAAAAAGACGAATGTTGAATTCAGTAATATTAGATCAAGGAGTTAAAGAAAGGGTAGTAAATGATGTTAGGGAATTTATTAGTAAAGGCCAGTGGTATAGTGAACGAGGTAAATAATATACATAATATACGAAAATAATGGATAGATAGTTATATAAATATAGAGAGGGAGAGAGAGATATATATATATCAAACTGAAGATTTAAACAAAATTTCTTAGGAATTCCATATCGTCGAGGATATTTGTTGTATGGTCCTCCAGGAAGCGGAAAAAGTAGTTTTATACAAGCATTAGCGGGAGAATTACAATATAATATTTGTATTTTAAATATTAGTGAACGTGGTTTAACGGATGATCGTTTAAATCATCTATTAAGTAATGCACCAGAACATAGTATTATGTTATTGGAAGATATAGATGTTGCTTTTACAAGGAGGAACAAACCAGATGAACAAGGGTAAATTCTTTTAATTACATAACTTTGATAAATATTCAAGTCAAACTGATATTTTTTTTTTTGGTAACTTTTTTTTTGTTTTAGTTATCACTCAATGGTTACATTTAGTGGATTATTAAATGCTTTAGATGGAGTTGTTGCAGCTGAAGAACGAATTATATTTATGACAACTAATCATGTGGATCGACTTGATAAAGCATTAATACGTCCAGGTCGAGTAGATGTTAAAGAACTTTTTGATGTAGCCAGTGAATATCAAATATGTTCAATGTTCTTAAGATTTTATGAGGGAAAAATCGAATTAGCTGAAAAATTTAGTCAACAGGTTAAGGGTAAAGGAGTTAGTACGGCTCAATTACAAGGTCATTTTGTTTTTTATAAGAATGATCCAGAAGGTGCAGTCGCAAATGCGGATTCTTTGATTCAAGTATGATTTTCATCAATTACAAGTATTACAAGTATCTGTTACAAAAATAGCAAGATTTTTTTTTATTATTATTTAATAAATAAATAAATTATATTATATTATTCTTAAATGATTTTTTTTTTAAAAAAAAAATTGCAAATCATTACTTGTCAAATAATCATAATTTGTAAATCATTATTTGTAAATCATTGTAAGAGTTCTTTTGTTTTTGACTTTTGCTTTACTTGTTAAGGAGAGAAAAAAATAATTCCCTGTGATCAAGTCTGATGATGATCTTAAAAAACGTATTAATTACCAAATCGAGGGGTAGGCTAAAGCGGAGTAGAATCATGTGAGGTGATTCGGGTTAAAGCGGAAGTGTGACCGTATCACATGTATTA